CGGACTACAGACCACGGACTACGGACTACGGAACAAGGGTGAATCATGTTAGCCAGTGTGTTTGTTTACATTTTTCCTCCTTGACCAATCAGACTGCGTGAAATTCGAAATATACGAACAAAAGGAGTGGGAAAATAACACCATGTTCTAAGCCCTCCGTGCCATTCAATATTAAACTTTTCACCTCAAAACTAACAAATTGTGACAAAGCGTGACTTTTTCTTTAATTTCCTTGTGGGGATTTTGTAAATTCGATGCACAACGCGAAATATTTATGTTTGAATAACCGTGTGTCAACGCGCGTAAAATAGCAGACACCTCAGTATAGCCTGTCTTTAAAACGCATATGAAATACTTTGTCAGACTCTATAAATTTTGTACTTTAAACGTATTTCCTTCCAGTAGACTGACTACAGTGTAGTTAGGACCCTATTCTGTGGTACAGAGTAATATCTTTCTCGTCGGAACACGTCAGAGTTAAAAGTGTAGTGTTATTATTAGATATCACATCACTCATATCCGGTTGGATTCTTGGAAGAGGAAACTAAAGCCCAAGGGGTTATCCAAGAAATTGTTTACTGTTGTTTAATTCTGTTTGTTTTCTGTATCATCGTCGTAGCCGTCGTCGTCTTAAGGATCACTCTCTTCGTCGCTGTGTTCGCTTCGTCAACGCTGATATTTGCAGGAGAAAACACAGCCTTGTTTGCCGTCTTGCCAAGAGCTTCAACTTTTGCCAAAAACGTTGCTTGACAAACTGGGCAATGGCTAATGATAGGCAGAACACATTCAATGTGAAACAAATGTCCACATCCACGGAAAGCATTCCAAATAAAGGGGGCTCACTTTTGTGCAGGTAGGCAAATCGCATTTTCAATGGTGGAAATATTTTGGAAGTACGTCCGTGGTCCGTAGTCCGTGGTCCGTAGTCCGTAGTCCGTGGTCCGTAGTCCGTGGTCCGTAGTCTGTAGTCCGTGGTCCGTAGTCCGGGGTCCGTGTTTTCCACCAAGCCCGGAAGTTATATTTACTCAGGCGTCTTGTGGCAAAAATCATTCACTAATCCCTGTCATGCTATTGATATTCCTATTTTTACAGCTATTTTTATATGCGTATCTCTAAACTCAATAAAGCCTTGCGTAACAATTTTAACAAAACACACAAAATCAGCGTAGGATATATACTCCAAAAAAGAGATTTTGTACCACTATATTTATTACTAATTTCACGTTTCGCTCTGCCAAGAACATTTCTTAATATTCTAAGCCGCTATTTCATAGAATTTCTTCAGAACTTTCGTACGCTGCAAAAACAGATGGGTCAAAATGACCCCCAAAACAGAATGATTAAAATGAGTCACATGGTGTTTTTGAATATCGTCGGTTCGAAATATTTCACAGGAATAAAGATGTGTTGCCGATATATGTACTGGTCGATATGACGATATTTGCATCGCGAAGCGTTGTGTACAAAGAACGCTTTTTATATAAAGAGAAAAAACCCTGTACAATAATAAACAAATAATATAATGTCACGTCGTTCAGGAATTATTACTTCATACAAATGAGAATAACCGACGTTGGCATATGCTTTGCCAAATACTAGGGGGTTTATCGCAATCTACATTTAAGGTGTCGGCCCAACAGCAGCACGGCCCGAGTCACGTGAGTCAAAGGAATAAATAATTTTTGGTCAAAAAGTTTTCTAACGAAACGAAAGAAGTCGATAGCGTCAAGTTGAGCGGATAGAGTTTGTAGATCGTAAACCTTAAAAATCGATCATAAAAGATCGTAAAAAAATAAGCAATAAAGGAGCTAATTATTAAGTAAGCTAGCTTATATACCAAAATAGGGTTTTATTTCCTGCTGACTTCCAGGCGTTTTCACAGAACTGTGATGACGATGAAGTGGATATAATTATTTCGATCTTATTTTGCCCCTGTTTCGCAGAAAATATTGCGTCAGTTAGCTTTTCTTACTTTCATATCGGAAAGTACGTTTGAACCCCTAAACTGTTTAAAACTACTGTAGGAAACAATAGATCTTTATATTCTAAATTAATTTATTTGATTGGTTGGTTAATTAAGTCATGTGAACGGGTCGGATAAGGTTGCACTATCACACGTGGGAGGCACTATTGTGAAATCAGCCAAGCTGACAACATGTAAATTATGTTGGCTTGTGACTTGTGTTTTAAATAAATAACAAGACGCCCGTTCTGGAGTTCACTCACGTGCCAATCTTTAATATAAAGCTTCTGAAAATAAACAATACAGTTCATACTCATTTATATGCTTTGCGAACCTAAATGTTGTTCGATCGCGACATTCAGAAGCACATCGTGCTTTAAAAAGTATAGAAGTTCAATTGTTCAAAAATGTTAATAAACCGCATGATACGTTCACTTTGTCTTACTCTTACACTTTGGAATTCGCGCTTATATAGCTATATTAAATGTTCAATCCCGTGCAAACTGCGACGTGTCAACGCGCCCATACAAGCACGACCACATCTTGGGAGGCAAAACTGTTACGTAGATAATTATGGTCACATACCGTACACTTTTCAAATACTAGTATATTTCGCGCCAAAACACACTTGCGACGACGAAAATAAAAAAAAAAAAAACAAAAGAAAACCGAGGCGAATTTTCAACTCCGTCGCTGACGCCGGAGTAATTATCTGAAAATCAAAGAGTTCAACGCTTTTTATATAGCTACCTTAATTGCTACCTAATACTTGCCATAGTTTCATTTCACAGTTCATGTTATTACAACATCGCGGCATAAGCTATGCAAGTGCTCTGAAGTAAATTGAGCAGTAAATTGAGCAATTTATTTACTCACATGGCTAATTCAATTGATTTACGCGGACTTAATTTACTTTTTAGACTTTTTTTTGAAAAATATAAAAATCTTTTCATGCCATATTGCAAGCCAAGCTGCTCTGATCACTACTATAGTTACCCAGACCAGGCACACTCAATGGTAGATTTTTGTAAAAACGATAACAAACTAGGTTTTAACACTAGAACGACGGAATTGGTTTTGCCTCGGAGCTGAACCTCGAATATATAAAACGTTTCCTGTAAAAAACGTTTTACAGACTGTAAAAATATAAAACTTCTACGATCAATCTATTTTAAACAGTCGCTATTTTACTTAGACTATACGGAATACAACACTTCACGTTCAGGATGCCAATTGTCTTTAAAGTAAACCATGAAAAGTTTATCAATTACCCTTTCTTGCGTGCTTTATATATTTTTTTTCTTTATATTTTTTTGAGAAAAATATTCAGCGTCGATTAGGGAGACATATAAGTTTGCAACCTTGAAATTTTCAAAACAGAATAAATCGTGATTTTTTGGTACAAGGCATCTTAAATGCTATAATTTTATATATTAAATTTAATTACAAGAATTTATTATGTACAAGTTTTAAATTTTATAAATAGTCTTTTCAAATAATTGAAAAGACTATTTATAAAAGATCGTTTGAATCGTTCAGTTTTAATTTGAAGTGGAATAAAAATATGTCCCCTTTGTCTTAAGCCTCTCTGTTTATAACTAGGAAGCAATATGTATAGTTCATAATCTAGATTTGATACAATATATACCACTTATTAACCGAATTTGAGGTTCCAGTACGGACCGAACGTATTCGGTTAATAAGGGATTTATTATATGGCATACAATATTTAGTTTATTTATTTATACAATGCGCTGCAGCATTCTTGCCGGCTCTTTCGCAGCCAGTCGCCAAGCAAGCACTGAAGTGTCTTCAAAAACTTTGTTTTTTACTCGTTAAATAAGAATGATACAGTAATAATTATAAACAAAAATCAAAGATGAATAAATATAATATTCACATGTACCAAATAATGCTCTTCTTCGTCCATTCTCCGTCGATATTTTTCGTGTCAAAAATAAAAGTGCAAGCTTGTTTTTGTTCAAAAATATGAGAGTTGGACCGTTACTACGGCAACGGTCCAATACTGGGGGATTCCAGACCGGTAAAGAACCAATCAGCGCACGCCATTTTAGTCACGAGACCGCGTGCCATATAATAATGCTAAATAATTTTCTCTCCTTAAAGCTTCGATAATTTCAGATATCGTGATATTCTTTGTTGCATGCATAGCCACAACGTTAAGCCCGCCAGAAGAACTTGTCTATACGATCTAAATAAAAATTATTTGTTTTGGGATGCAGAGCTCCACGCTTTAATGCAGTAATAAAAGAGTTGCATGATTAACGAGTAACGATATTACCAAGACAGAGCCTTCACCATCGTTCCAGCATCATTGATTTACGCGGAATTTTTTATGAATGCTTAATACAAACAGACTCATAACTTCCTGTAACCACGTTTTTTTTTATATCAGCCTTGTTTTCAGTATAGGCATAAACCTGTAGCCTAGAAGTGCATTTAGCTGAGCCTATGCACAGATCAGACACGATTTTCTGCAGATTTTTAATTTTTTTCCAGCATATAAATTTTGTCATAAGATTCAGTTTGAGAACTACTTAAGGCCACTCTTTACCTTCAATGACTGCTTTTGTGACCATTTGTCGGCTGGTTTTCATTGCCGGAAAAGAAATTCGGGAAGTTTTTATTCGATTTGTATGTCTTATCAAATCTCACTCCTGACACCATATTTCGACAGGCGTCATTCTATATTTACATATGACTGACGTCATATTTGTTCACTGATCCCAAATTTTAACTGGATATCTAACAAATTCATTTCATTTCATGTCGTTTCATTTTCAAAATCAAATTTATTTCAATTCGTTTCAATTCAAACCATACTTTTTCAAAATCATAATTCTGATTAATAAATGAACCAAGAAGCTATCCTCAAATCCAGGGGCGGCGGGCATTTTTTCAGGGACAGCGGGCAAGGGCGGACTCCATTAAAAAATACTCATTTTGTATATAAAATACAGCAGCTGGTTATGTTGATTTTTGTTTCTTTCAGTTCTACGCTTAAGATATTTGCTCAATGGAAGAATCAGCTTCAGCTGCTGGAGAAGCTCTGCGTATTGTAGCAACTGGAGGGATATTTAACATCGATATTAGCACTTCCAAAGTAGAAGTGGCAGGAAAGTTGTGTGATATAGCACGAGAAGTGGGCAACACAGTGGGGCATGGAGTGGGACAAGGATTGGGGCAGGGATTGGGACTAGGAGTTGGACTAGGAATTGGACTAGGAGTTGGAATAGTTCTAAGTCTAGGCGCCCTGTATTTTGGTTTTCCAGCATTGAAGCCAATAATTGATGATGCAATTACTAAGGGCGTTGGTGGGAAACGCGATGATCAAGACGTTCGTGACATTCGACCAGGATGTTTGCATTTTGAGTTACATTGTTTCACAGACGAAAGGTTTCTGGAAGTATTAGCGGATTACGAATCAGGAAGGATGAAGGAACGCTTGCAGGAAGAATTTTCTCTGGTTGGAATTAAAGTGGAAGGACTGGAGGTGAAGATTGAAAATATGGAGGTGGTGAATGAAAAAAAAGCTAATTGGAGGTAAATGATGAAGGTTTATTTTTTAGATTATTATAAAGATAGCTTCGTAATATTCGGCATTGCTGAAAGCATAGCTGTGGCGTAGCCAGCACGATAATTGGGGCCCATATTGATACAAATCTTTACATTTCAGCAAGATAATATCAATTTCTATAAAGAAGCAGGAAGTTTTAACTGGGGTCATTAGTATAAACACTGTCTCAATGTCTGTGCACGTTGCAATGGCTGAACTGGCATGCATATTATTATACATTATCAATATTTACCACAAACAAATTGATATGTTCATGTCACGCATGATTAATTTCTTGTCAAGTCGATTGTCTTTGGAGTCTGCTAACATGAGTATAAATTTCTTGTCTCGTTGCTGGATGCTAAGGGCGCCGGTATTCGTCATTTTTTTTAAATACAACACGCAATATGATTGCCCCGAAAAGTGTATAAAAACATTCTGCCCAATCACATTGCGTGTTGTATTTAAAAAAATGACGAATACTGTACTGCAAAGCGAAATAACCTGTGTTGCTATTGTTATTTGCCTCTAAATTCTGTCTGTATTGAATGTCAAAAGAACTTGTGATGATAGTAAAACCGATTCTATCGGCGATGATACAGTCTACACATACACTTTGGATCTAAATTCGATCTTATATCTTTTTGGAGTTTCTTTTTGTTCCGCCATACTAGGTGCATTTATGTAGTTTATTGAGTGAATTACTATTTTTAGTATACTCCGACTTCATTATACACCGTGAATTCGGTCGAAAGCATTGGAATCACACAACATGATCATGAAGTGGAAGACTACAACCAGTCATTAGAGTCGAAACAAAAAGCTCTTAAAACAAGATTGAAATTACTTGAAGAAGTTCATCCGGACCCCGCTGACAGTTATGAAAGCATTGGAGTAACACAACATAAGATGAAAGATTACCAATCAACATTGAAGGCGAAACAAAAAGCTCTTGAAATCAAATTAAAGCTATTTGGAGAAGATCATCCTGCAACAGCTGACTGTTATGAAAGCATTGGAAAGACACAAAATAGTATGGAAGATTACAAATCATCATTAGAATCTAAACAAAAAGCTTTTACAATCAGGTTAAAGCTGATTGGAGAAGATCATCCTGCAACAGCTTACAGTTATGAAAGCACTGAAAAGACACTAAACAGCATGGAAGATTACAACTCATCATTGGAGTCTAAAAAAAAAGCTCTTAATATAAGGTTAAAGCTGTTTGGAGAAGACCATCCCGCAACAGCTGACAGTTATGAAAGCATTGGAAAGACACAAAAAAGCATGGAAGATTACAAGTTATCATTGGAGTCGAAACAAAAAGCTCATAAAATCAGGTTGAAGCTATTTGGAGAAAACCATCCCGCAACAGCCGACAGTTATGAAAGCATTGGAAAGACACTAAAGAGCATGGAAGATTACAAGTCATCATTGGAGTCGAAACAAAAAGCTCATAAAATCACGTTAAAGCTATTTGGAGAGAACCATCCCGCAACAGCTGACAGTTATGAAAGCACTGGAAAGACACTAAAGAGCATGGAAGATTACAAGTCATCATTGCAGACGAAACAAAAAGCTCATAAAATCAGGTTGAAGCTATTTGGAGAAAACCATCCCGCAACAGCTGACAGTTATGAAAGCACTGGAAAGACGCAAAATGGCATGGAAGATTACAGGTCATCATTGGAGTCGAAACAAAAAGCTCTTGAAATCAGGTTAAAGCTATTTGGGGAAGATCATCCTCCAACAGCTGACATCTATGAAAGCATTGGAAAAACACAAAATAGCATGGAAGATTACAAGTCATCACTGGAGTCGAAACAAAAAGCTCTTCAAATCAGGTAAAATGTATTTGGAGAAGATCATCCCGCAACAACTGACATTTATGAAAGCATTGGAAAGACACAAAATGGCATGGAAGATTACAAGTCATCATTGGAGTCGAAACAAAAAGCTCATAAAATCACGTTAAAGCTATTTGGAGAGAACCATCCCGCAACAGCTGACAGTTATGAAAGCATTGGAAAGACACAAAATAGCATGGGAGATTACAAGTCATCATTGGAGTCGAAACAAAAAGCTCTTGAAATCAGGTTAAAGCTATTTGGAGAAGATCATCCTGCAACAGCTGACATTTATGAAAGCATTGGAAAGACACAAAATGGCATGGAAGATTACAAATCATCATTAGAGTCGAAACAAAAAGCTCTTCAAATCAGGTTAAAGCTATTTGGAGAAGATCATCTTGCAACAGCTAGTAGTTATGAAAGCATTGGAAATACACAAAATGGCATGGAAGATTACAAATCATCATTAGAATGTAAACAAAAAGCTCTTAAAATCAGGTTAAAGCTATTCGGAGAAAACCATCCTGCAACAGCTGACATTTATGAAAGCATTGGAATGACACAAAATACCATGAAAGATTACAAGTCATCATTGGAGTCAAAACAAAAAGCTCTTAAAATCGGGTTAAAGCTATTTGGAGAAGATCATTCTACAACAGCTGACAGTTATGAAAGCATTGGAAAGACACAATATAACATGCAAGATTACAAATCAACATTGCAGTCTGAACAAAAAGCTCTTGAAATCAGGTTGAAACTATTTGGAGAAGACCATTCTGCAACGGTGACAGTTATGAAAACATTGGAAAGACACAAAATCGCATGGAAGATTACAACTCATCATTAGAATCTAAACAAAAAGCTCTTAAAATCAGGTTAAAGCTATTTGGAGAAGATCATCCCGCAACAGCTGACAGTTAGGAAAGCATTGGAAAGACACAAAAAAGCATGGAAGATTACAACTCATCATTACAATCTAAACAAAAAGCTCTTAAAATCAGGTTAAAGCTATTTGGAGAAGATCATCCCGCAACAGCTGAAAGTTATGAAAGCATTGGAAACACACAAAATAGCATGGAAGATTACAAATCATCATTGGGGTCGAAACAAAAAGCTCTTAAAATCCGGTTAAAGCTATTTGGAGAAAATCTTGCCACAGCTAATAATTATCTTACAATTTCTCTCACACAACTTGGACTAAATGATTTCATGTCAGCATTAGAGTCTCTTCAAACAGCTCTTAAAATCAGGTTAAAATTTTCTGGAGAAGATCATCCTGAAACAGCTAATATTTATGTAATCATGGGAATGTTGCAACATTTTATGAAAGATTACCAGTCATCATTGGAATCGAGGCAAAAAGCTCTTAAGATTAGGTTAAAGTTATTAGGAGAAGACCATCCCGCTTCAGCTCACAGTTATGAAAGCATTGGAAAGACACAAAATAGCATGGGAGATTACAAGTCATCATTGGAGTCGAAATTAAAAGCTCTTCAAATCAGGTTAAAGCTATTTGGAGAAGTCCATCCCGCAACAGCTGACAGTTATGAAAGCATTGGAAATACGCAACATGAAATGGGAGATTACAAGCCAGCATTGGAGTCGTTTCAAAAATCTCTTGACATTCAATTAAAACGAAATGAGGAATATTTTCTTGACAGTGGGGACGTTTGTGACAATTTTGAAATAACACAACAGGCAGTGAAAGATTACAAGTCAACATTAGATTCGTATCAACAAGCTCTTGAAAAGCTCTATGTAGTAGAACATTCTGATAAGACTGAAAGTTTTCAAAACATTGCAATTCTAAAACTAGAGATAGAACGCTTAAAGCTATTGTTAGAAACTAGGCATGAGACGCTTCAAATGAGATTAAGATCTTTACGAAAGGGAAATTCTGACACGAATGACGGACGTCGAAGTATTGGAGCTATGCCAGAAAGCCCGAGAGATAGCAATTTGATATTAGGGTCAGGAGAAACAAAAAAAGAAGAAGATGAAGTAAATATGTTTTTAAAACTTTGGCGTTTTCTAGAAAAAACTAAAATAAAGTTTAAGAGTCTATATAAACCTTTAAAAGACAAAACCTTTAAAACGGGATTCAAAAATTGAATACACTTAATATTACTATGGTTACTACGAAACTATTGGTGCATAAACACAAGAGTGTCAATCCTAGGGGGATATTATCCCCCCATAAATATCCCCCCATATCTACCTATTTTATAGTAAAATATTAAGTAATCTATTTTTGCATTGCATCGCTGGATTTGCTGCTCGCGATCGCAATCATTGCCATTTTTATTACGAAATGTAGCTAGTACATAACGCATTAATCTAGCCAATATGATTCATTTTAAAAGTGCCTCCCCCTGAAATTTTTAGTTGGATTGACGCTCTTGCGTGCACATTGTCTTGTGTAGAACGATGACATATTATGACGAATTATGACAACATTATTAAATAAATTTGTTTAACTATTGTGGTTGTCTAATACGGGAGCCTGCAGTTGTCTAATACGGAGCCTGCTTAAAATGAGTGGGAGGGTCATGAGTGGGGGGGGAGTTTTATTATTAATAAAGTGAACATCGCATAAAACTATAGACTACTTACGTAACATAAAAAAATATTGGGTGCATACAGGGAGCCAGACAGCAAAATTGGGGGAGCAAATGCCCTTTCTCCTAGCGCGATCACTGGGAAACCGGCACAAAAATGTTACCATCGACAGGGGGAGGGTGTTACAGCGGAGACTGCGGTGTCACTTCGAGTTCCCATAAGCGGAAAATTTTGATTTCAAGTAACCATTTTCAGTAGACGATAACTTGGTTATTTCAGGTCGTATTGATATACGAAAGATATAATCGAAAACCTAATAATAGGCTAGTCTTTATTGCCATACAAAAATTTTATCATTTACTCTAGTATTTTATGTGGCAGCAGTCTGTTAAAGTTGAATTCGAACTTTTTTTATACACTCTGTGTCGTATGTGTTGGCTTTGTGTTTCGTGAAAAATATGGGCAATTTCGTACCATTTGCTCACTCCTCTTTAGCATAAGTGAGGGTGGAAGTAATTAAGGTTGACCCACACTCAAATCATACGAAAACAATACGTGAAACCCACCAATACTAGCTTGTATTTTCTTGAATACCACAATATTAGGTGAATATATTTTTGTGTTTATATATTTGTATATATAGGTTGCTGTTTGTTTCTCAAACTCTCTAAGTTCATTTTTTGTACACGACGAGAAAAATTCATACTGCGAAAATTGATCAAAAACAAAAATGGCGTGAGAGTATATGAGATTGAGATAGCTCTACTTTATTTTGCTGACGCGACGTCGCCTTAGGATAGCCGTATGTCGCCAAATCTGGACGAAGAATTAATTACAACGCCAGCGGAGACAAGGAGTATATGTTAATCTTCTTTGCGAACTGCTGAAGCCAAGAATGCAGAGGACCGAAAAACACTCAGGCAGTATCAAAAAGTTGATATAGTTTTAATGAAGTATTAAACACTTCGTATTAAACACTTATTTAATTATTCTTGTTGCAGGTATTCGTATCCTGCCAGTTTGTGGAGATGGCTATGCATGCCCTTATTGAAGGTGTGTTGGAGGGTGCCTTTTGGAAGTGAGATGATTGATGGTACCAAACAACTAGTACCAACCTTGACATAGAAGCCAATAATATGATCTATATGTACCTGCACATTTCAATACTCTATGTATAAACTGTATATACTGTATATAGTTTCCGAACTGCAGAAGCCATGCAAGAATGCAGAGGACCGAGAAACGCTCAGGCAGTATCAAAAAGTTGATATAGTTTTAATGAAATATTAAACACTTCGTTTTTAGTCAAAATTTTTTCTAATTATTCTTGTTGCAGGTATTCGGATCCTGCTATTCCTGCCAGTTTGTGGAGATGGCTATGCCCTTATTGCAAGTGTGTTGGAGGGTGCTTTTTGGAGGTGAGATGATTGATGGTAACACTACTTACGTAACATAAAAAAATATTGGGAGCATACTGGGAGCCAGACAGCAAAATTGGGGGGAGCGATAATGCCCCCTCCCCTAGCGCGATAACTGGGAAACCGATAGGGGGAGGGTGTTACAGCAGCGACTGCGGTGTCACTTCGAGTTCCCATAAGCGGAAAATTTTGATTTCAAGCAACCATTTTTAGCAGACGATAACTTGGTTATTTCAGGTCGTATTGATATACGAAAGATACAATCGAAAACCTAATAGGCTAGTCTTTATTAAAAATACTCAGTGGTTCACGTAATGAGGCTAATTCAAACTATTTAAGGTGGCTCCCAAGAGATTGTAGGTTTGTGGGGTCGAATAAAGCGCCAATATTGTTGACTAAAGATCAATAATACTTTTCATTATAATGTGCAGTACGTTAGGGATGAGAGACTTCTATACTGTGGAAGTTTGCGAGAACTCGAAATAACGTGGAAAAACTCGCCCTTTACCACTGATTATTTCTCGTTCTCGCAAACTTCCACGCGTGTTTCTAAAACTGTATAGAAACACGGAAAATATTTTCTATTTCTTAAATGCATGCAGATAATATCGAAAATTGCCCCAGCAGGGTACTTCAAAGGAATGTAACACTATAGGCATAGGGAACTCTTATATTTCATTCTAATATTTTTGTCATGCGTCGTTTTGTATTTATTTACGTTTTCTGATCTAGGTGAGTGGGTTCATGTGAAACACCATAGAATATTTTTCTGCGTTTAGATCGAAGTTCATTTTCACTTTCATTTTTATTGTGGTTTAAATCGTTTATCAGCATGTCTATCATATTTGTGAATGCAAGACCGATTCACAATGCATTTCTCTCTTCAAAGGAATGTAACATTATGCACAAACTAGCGTCTATATTTCATACTTATGCGTCATTTTATATTTATATTTACGACTTTTCGATTTAATTTGGGTAAGTGGATTCTTTGTGAAACTCTTATCATAGAATATTTACCTTCACCTAAGTTTATTTTCATTTTCATTTTCTTTGTGTTTTAACAGCACGTCTATCATATTTGTGAATGCAAGACTGACTCACAAAGTACCTCCACTCCAGTCACATAACTCACGCTGCGAGGCCTACAGTATGTCGCAAACATTGGTCTGATGTGGTAAGAATTCCTCTTCTTCATTAAGGTAAGGCTTAATCCTCGTACAATACAACTTCTTAATGCCATACCATTCAAATACTGCATGGTTGGCCTATATATTATTCAAGATAATACTTTCGTTTCAGAAATTCCTGCATGTAGTTCATTAAAACTGCAGGTATACGTTAAGTGCGTATACGGTTCATTGAAATTTGACTGTACCATTTCAAACGGAAATTGAATTTAACCTCGTGGTATATATATACGCCATATAATACAATCTTTACCTGATTTGGATGATACAAATCAAAACAAACTCATTTAAAATATAGTCGTAATGATAGTCCAGTAATTTTACTTCACATATCAGGCAGATACAGTGAACTTAGTTTTAGGAAGAATTCGAAGCGTAGTCTTCGCCGAAGTAGAAAATTATTGATTTGAAGTATTTAGATCGTACACTAGACAATTAAAAAAGTTAGTTGACTCACAACACAGAAATATTAGTGATTATGTAATAATATCATAGAAACGTATCAAAACAATTTTTGGCACTGCTGGTTGCCTCAAAACAGCGTGTGATGGAATAAATTGCTCATATTTTTTTGGTTTCACATTTGGGAAAGGGCATGCAAATCAGTTACAACTGGAATTCAGTAGCTATGAGCCGGAAGGAAGTCAGATTTGAAACGCTAAATACTCAATCTTTCAACTTCGCGCCTCGGTTCCGCCTGCACCAAATTGTCTTAAACTTTAATAACTTATAAAACATATATTCTATATTTTCAGTCACCTATTTTTGTGCGCAAATCGTTTTAAATTGACTGCTAAAAACACGTCAATGACATCGATTCTAGAGGATTTCATTGATTCAAAGGCGTTTAGTTTAAACGGCGGACAGTTCAAAATAAATAAAGAAATTGTGTATTTATTGAACTTACAACAGATCTGGAATATTTGAATGTGAATAGTTTTATTTTCAATGATGATTGACGATAGTTTAAACTATTTTAATTAATACAGTTTACATCAGCAAAAATACAACCGACATAGAAACTGGAATACATCTCGGAATACATGGTCTATATACACCAGTATAGTTCCTTCCCCCTTAGTGTATAAACAGCAGTATTATTAATAGCATGCAGGCAGGTAATTGCACTATTGGATACCTCAATGTAGTAACTCGTATATCAGTATATAGTTACGTTATGCATTATATTGTTTTATACTCCTTAGGGAAGTTTTCGCTGTAGGCGCGAGTGGATCTGTGATAGACAATTATGAGGTTCGGCAGAGTAAGGATATGTCTGCTTTTACATTCAAGTTTTGAATTCACTTTTTTTATGTCAGCAGCATGACGTTCGATCGTTATAGCAATCATCAAATTATTGTGAACGCAAGACTGACTCACAATGCATTCACCTCAAAAAGCTCACGCAAGCTGCGAGGCCATATTTGTTGCAAACTCGTATTAATTTTGACTGAAATAATAAAGCATTCCTCTTCTTCATTAAGGTAGGCGCATATCATTAAAATATGCTTTATCATATAGATCTCAGACTCAGGCCTTTCTGCTTAGAACAATAGTTTGAAAATTTATTTATTGACTTATTAGCTTAATCAGAACTAAACGAATATATATGTACTTTAAGTCTTGTTTGTTCTTCTCTCATACAAGGAACTTAGCATCTCTAGGCAAGCCAATAACTTCAATTTCAGAGGATTCCATCAATTTGAAAGCGTATAGCTTAAACGGCGGATAAGTTTGAACATGGAAAATAAAACTTTTATTTAATAAGCAACTGAACTGAAATATTTCGATGTAAATACCTTACTTTTTAATGGAAATACATTCTCTAATGTGTAAGATGTAGGTTCAGTCATGCATCTATAAGATGTAGAGTATTTTTAAACTTTGGCTTAAACTGCCGTTTAGGCTGCACGCCTTTCAAACTTTCCGCCCTCATATTATTTATCATTAATAAATATTTTATAAATACTAAAACCGCTGTCATTTTTAACAAAAAATGAAGTATTCTGATGCTAGAAGTAATAAATTCATGCAGCAACCCATGATATCGGTTAAACGAAATAAGTTAGGCATAGGGGTGATAACCTGATAACCTTATGTGGGTTGGGGTTTGGAGGGTATGTGGTATGATATGAAAACATTTTTCTGGAAGTGGAAGCACTGTAAGTCATAGCAACTCGCAACGGCCGTATATTTTCAAAGTCAAAGAATCAAAGTTTACCCGCGTATTTTTGTAAAAAAAGTTCGACTGGAAGTTAAGTTACTCATCTATATAGTCAGTGTTATGGTAAATTATTTTATTTATTAATTACCATGAAATATAACATCGGACGTCTCATACAACTTCCATACAAGTTACGTCTCGACTGGTTTTTGCACGCGAATATTTTGATTAAACGGAATTTTTAAATGAAATTATAATATCGTTTATAGCCGTGTTTAAACTACAAGCCTGAGCCTACCCTAGGCCTGGCTTTTGCCTAGACCTTTTTAGTGCGGAGCGTTTTACACTTACGACAGCCTGACGTTGGCCTAGAATTTCAGCCGTTTGCATATCACAACTTTTTTTCACTTTATGTAAAATATGTTTAACGCCAACTAGAACTTTGTACCCAGTTCGTACCCAACGTTGCCATAGGCATAGAAGATAGAATGTCTAGGTCCACACCAAAGTGTTTGCACTACCGTAAAGATAGGCTTAGACATGGCCTATGCCACCTGTTATGATGGGCGTAGATTTCCTGGCCTAGGCCAAGCTTAGACAAGGCCAAATTGTGTTTGTATCACGAAGATCTAGGCCAAAGCCAGGCCTAGGCAAGACTCCGGCTTGAAGTGTAAACACGGCTTATCCCATAACACCTTCAGAATTATAGTGAAATACATTTGAGAATATCAAAGTTGTGTTTACCACAAAAGAAGGGCTTTTTAAAGCTGTGCAGGGTGAAATAATATCAAGTGTAAAATCTTCCGACTTCATTATACACGGTGAATTCAGTCGAAAATTTGGACTTGCTTGTTTTTTTTATTAGACCGTAAAAGTCCTGACCACATTCGAGTTTCTCTCTAAAGTAATTAAAAGAATTATATATAGCTATTATATGTATATTTTTTATTATAAGTGGGTTTATACTAATAGCTGAAGCTATATATATATATATATATATATATATATATATATATATATATATACATATATATTATATATATTTTATATATATATATATATAATATATATTTATATATATATATATATATTATATATATATATATATATATATATATATATATAGTTGTTATCATTAAGGTTGTCACCTGGAAATATATATAATTATATATATATATATATATATAGTCGTTATCATTAAGGTTGTCACCTGGAAATATATATAAATACGTAAATATCGATCACGTGATTGAACTGCATACGTTAATTTTATGGGAAATCGTTGAAAATCTATCTTCAAAATTTCTCAAATGTCATGCTAAAGTGAACAATATATATTGATAATAATAAGGAAACAAGGGGTAAGTGAACAAAATAAGCTATGTTTAATGGTCACGTGATTGATATTTATATATTTGTATATATATTGACATGGACAACCTTAATGATAACGACTGTATATATATATATGTATATATATATATATATATATATATATATATATATATATATATATACCTGGTATATATATACATATATACTAAATACGTCTGAAATGACCTATTTAAAAATGAGACAAGTCTATAGCATGGACTAATGGACTACGTCTACAACGTTTTGTTCTGCCGAAAAATTTATATAATCTATTTTTATTCAATCTCGTTTAATTTCCTTTTCCCTAAACTGATTTTTTTGCTTGTTTTGGCAGCAATTCATGAAGCCGGTGATTCGGGTCGATCAAATCTTTAATCATCAGGGGTTGGTTGTTCAAAAGCCGGTTAGCTTAACCCTGGATTAAATCAAATTTTCACATCAGTTTTTTTAATCGCTCGTTTTTGAAGTTGAACATGTTTTTTAATAAATATTTTGTGGATCATCAAAAGTCTTATTTTGTAAAGTCTTGAAACAAACAGCGGTGCAGAAGCATATAAACCAAAACAGCGGAGTAAAATTTACCCCAAGGTTAGCGCTAACCCAGCTTTGAACAACCGGCCTTGTTTCTGCTTTCTTCCAGGGATTCCAGTTTACTCACGTTTAATTTGCTACTATAGTCTATATGTGCAGTATGACCACGGTATATAATATTAAGAACCCTTCTCTGAACTCTTTCTATATAACTGTACAATACAACATCAATTCTTAAAATGTTTTAAAAATGTAATCGCTTTGTTACCTTTTTTTACGATATATTCTGTGTTGGTCGTCCATTTAAAATCGTTATCGATCCATAATCCAAGCAATTTATAAGAGATCACTTGAGATACTTTACAACCGGCAATAATTATCGGGTGGTATATCTGTTTTATCCCTTCTGAAATCCATAATCATTTCCTTACATTTTCCTTCGTTCAGTTCCATCATCTTATCTCTAGTAAATTGACTTACTTTATTCACTCATTCCTGTGAGATTCCAATTGGACTTTCCGATGTATGGGATGGTACATCAATCACTTCATACGAGGTGGTATCATCCATAAACATTATTGCATCTTGTTCCTCAGATGTTTCGCAGAGTAAAGTCTCACTATCGGGTTTGGATTTCATCGGAAGATCATTAATTTTCAGGATAAAAGATATTGGCCCTGATTTGGTTTCCTGTGGCACTCCAGTCTCCACCGTAGATTCGTTTTAAACTTGATTGTTCCCCGTGAAACGTTGTTATTTGGGATCTTCCGTGGAGATAAGATGCAAACCAAGCAATAAGTTCGGGTCCAACACCAATTTTAAGAAATTTATTATAATAAATTGCTTCGGTCATTTCTTAAAATTGGTGTTAGACCCGAACTTATTGTTTGGTTTGCATCTTATCTTCACGGAAGATCCCAAATAACAACGTATATGGTCGATTAAATAGAAGGCCTTGCGAAAGTCAAGGGAGATGATGGGAATGACTTTCTTAGTATTATCCATAGCCATATGCCATTTATGTATTAACGACAACAATGCATAAATTGTTGATGATCCAGGGAGCTCACCTTACTGGCATCGACTTATTTTATCTCCAACATCCTCCTTACGTTAAGATTCGTCTACTCGTTCCTAACTATGGAAAACTCAGTGGTAAGGTTCGTGAAAAAGTTGTTGATATGTACGGCACATTCTTTGAAGTTTAATGGCATATCAGTTACCGGATCGGTAAGGCTAAATCAGTTCTTGTTTTTTCTTGCCCACGATCTTCTTAACGCTTTTCCACCATGCTTTCAGTTCATGAACACGTAGGGTGGACCTAACGCCATGGACGGTCGTCTACGGTGAACTATTAAGTTCTTGATTGGTCGAGACAAAAAACGCAAAATTTTGATGAAATTTATATATTTATATTTTTAATATATTTATAATTTATATATTTATATTTTCATTTCACGACTCGTGCAGTGTAAATTCCAAAGTCGAAGCGTTCCTAAATATCACTGATGAATTGATTAGACAGTGTTTTCCCATGCACCAAAACGTTCAAACGTCATGAAAACGATAAACCTTTCATATCAGGAAGAATCAAGCGCATAATAATCAAGAAGGATAAGCTGTATCAACAAGGAAGAATGGTAGAAACTAGAGAAATGAGAAATAAAATTGTAACGGAGATCCGTAAAGAAAAAAGGAAATTGTACAAGGAAATGATCAAGCCGGCATAATGGCCACTCGTGCCATAACAATGCGTCAATAAAATAACGTAAAAAATTTCATATCATGTGATCAATGCAATTATTCTAGATAAACTACAAAACGAAAGACACGATTCTTAATTATTCACAATAGTATGCACAATAGTCTAATATCACAGAGGGAATACTATTCCAGTAGTGTTCTGGCCTTCTCTGGGGCCGAGAGTAAACTGTTCCCTTTCCTGTAAGTGGAAGTCCGCCTTTAAACTTCGTGTGGAGACACAAATAAAGGCCCAACGTAGGTCAGAAGCAAAGGCTAAACGTTATGCAACGTGATTTAAACAAAGCAACTGGACTAGACTAGGTATCTCATCTTTTTTCTTGAGATTATACTCAAGTGCAAAATAGCAGGAATTATTCTTCCCATTTGCAATTTAAGCCGCGTTATCAAACGCGGAATATTCCCTGAAAAGTGGAAAAGAGCTAAGCTAATTACCATCTATAAGCCAGGAGAAAATACTAATCGAGCGAATTACCGGCCTATTTCTACTCTTGGTATTCTGAGTGAGATGTTTGTAAAGCATACCTACTTTTAGTGTGCAGCGATAACCAATTTGTCCAGTGATAAAAGTAGAATGTGCGGTGATAAAATGAGAAACGTGCAGTGATAAGTGGTGTTTCCTCAAAAATAAAGAAAATTTTCTACAAGAGGTCCTGCAGACTCCATGCAATTCCTCCAGTTAGGACTATTTTTATCATGACTTCCCTGCAGACCCCACACAATTCCTCCATACAATTCCTCCAATCTTGGCGGAATAAAAATATAAGTTCGGCTTGACTATTTTCGGTTTTAATGCAAATATTTCGATAGCGAACTGTTTCTGTGCAAGTGGAAATCCACCCTTGGAGTTAATTACATTTTAGAGTTACGTAGAAGGTTACAGAAGGCATATAATTAATAATTAATAGAACGAATAGGAGTGCTATTAATGGCAAAATCATACTCGTGATTAGCAAATCAGCCTCCTGCTACGCGGTCGGTTGATTTTGTAACCACTCGTATGATTTTGCCATTAATAGCACTCCTATTCGTTCTATTACCATACCAATTTTTATCCATGTAATTGTTAGCATTTCGCTCACTAGCAGATGCTTCGTATTAGTTTCACCGTTTCAGTCACGTGACAGATTTAGCACTTGGTAGCCAACTCCAGATGGAAAAATATTTATCAAATCGAGTGAAATATTCATTGTAGGTTTTGACCTATTGTTGAGTAGACGTTATGTGCAATTTAACGAAATTTGCTCACTTACACAAGGCATAATTCGGCAATATGTCTGAAGTTGACCACCAAGTGTTTCGCTGTGTATTAGTCTTGAGTGAAACCCACCTATTGATTTTGTCGTAACGCCCGTTTTTCCAAGGCGAATATGTTCGCGCGAGACGAAAAACAAATCATATACCTTAATTAGATTACTGCAATACAAGAATATCGAAAAATTATAAACATTTTTGATGGTATTTCTTTCTTTTCTCTCATTGGGCCCAAACATTTCTCACCTTTCAGATAGAGATACGTATTTTGTGACCGGTCCTAAAGGTATTTGTTGTATTAGTTTAATTGTATTTCTAGGAACTATTTTCCTGAATGGCAGAAGCCAGTGAGGCTCTGGGAGCTGGTGCATCGTTAACAGGGGAAACATTCGAGATCGTTGTTACCTCTAGCTATGTAGAAGTTGTTCGGGATGTGTGCGGAGCAGTGCGAGCGGTGGGAGAGGGATGCAACCTAGCTCGAGAGACGTTGGAGGCAGCGAAAGAACTCGGCCAACAACTTGGACCAGACGTGAAAAAGGGAATAGCAATAGGTGTAGGAATAGGAATCGGAATAGGAGTTACAAACCTAACCTTAGGTTCCATCTGGACTAAGTGTAAAGAATTACAACCCATAATCAAGCGTGTACTTATTGCAAGTTTTGGTTGCGACGTTGGCAACATTCGACCAGGATGTTTGCATGTTGAGTTACATTGTTCAACAAACAAAAGATTTCTGGAAGTCTTAGAGGATTATGAATCAGGAAGAATGAAGGAACGCTTGCAGGAAGAACTTTTGTTGGTTGGAATTAAAGTGGAAGGACTGAAGGTGAAGATTGAAAACATGGAGAAGGTGAATGAAAAAAAGGAAGCGATTACGAAGAGGTAAACGTTTAAGATAAACATCTTTTCTAATTTGAAAACAAATGCTCATAATGGTTAAAACAAGTGCACCCCCTCCCATGTGAGATGTAGCAGCTTATCTCACCATATCATCTCACCATGAACGAATAAAGTGTTACTAAGCCTGGATTCTCACTTACATGCAGAGAAATAGTTTGCTAGCTAAATATTTGCATTTTTCTTTAGAATATTAACATCATAAATAAATTAGTCCAACTTGACTGTTCACAATTCATTCATCACAATTAAGTGGAAATCAATCCTCTGTAAGTGGAAATCAAGTCTATAAGTCTTTTGTCTTTGCGTATTTCTTCAGGTTTCGGAAAAAGAGAATAAAAATTGCGATGATAAAATATAGATTTGCTGGGCGAATTCCATTTGCAACACTCTCTAGCAAAGTCCTCTTAGTCCTCTTTTGTACTGTTTTGTCCTCACGTTATCCTCCTTTTACCTTCTGTAAATTACCCTTTCGAAGGCATGAGGGGAAGAGAGGTGAATGCTTTATTCCTATAACTCGGATGACGTTTCGGTAATCGGTATTATAATTGAATGCTATGAATAAAATGTTCCCAAAAGGCCCAAAGCATCTGAGATTATGCTAAAAAATTTACCAACGAAATTATCTACTAAATCGCTAAAATATTTATTGATGAAATCGCTCATACCTGATATTAGTATAATTACGAAGGTGATTAGTGAAAATTCTGCCTCTGGTTGGTCGAGCGACCTCGGATTATTACGCGATAATCACCTAAGCGAATTTTTCAAAAAGGCGGCGAGTTGTTTTTGTCAAAGTGACAGATAAAGAGATATCTAAACCAAAATACTATACCTGGAAGTACAATATTATTAAAAAATAGGCATAAAATTATTTTCAAGGTGTAAAACTACTTTGTAGGACGCTTTTCAACTTTATTTCGCGAAAACATTGTTTTCATTTGAATGAACTGTCGAGATACTGTATTTGTTTACGTTTGTGAAACATGTATCCTCCGCAACAGATTCGTTTTTCTCAAAAATGACTTTGTAGTTATACTAAGCTAAGACAATTATAACAATTATTCACATCAGGGTCGGTGTGTCGCGTCGCGTACGAGACGGGAACGCAGTGCCAATCAGACGAAACGTAGAACACAAAGTGATTTTATGAATTGGATTATACCATATAATCATACAGCCTCTGTTATTGCTAAGATACACTTACATCATTATTTCGTCGGTGAAAACTAGAGACAATAGTCAATACACACAATAAATACGTAAAGGCGTGAACGTAATATTAAAGCGTTAAATAGTAATAAACTTACGAAATACCAAGATTGTCCCCGTGCTTGTATTAGTAAATATCCTTTATAAGGTGTTAGTATTATCCGTCAGTTAGTTCTTTCTCATAAGATAACTAAGGCTTGCCATTTATATAGGCTACGCCCGACTAGTGATGCGTGAACTTAGCAATATAAATTAGCATAATATAACGTTACACGGTGAACAAAGATGAATAGACCAATTGCGAAACTTAGTAACCGCGCCTTCACGCAACATAAAAACGAAGCTTATTGTGCAAAAAACAATTTGCATTTTTTGAGTACAAAGCTATTCGCCGAGTTATATCCAGGTTTTCGTTTTTGTTTTACATATTTTTCGATAACTTTAAGCTTGATTTCATCGTTGTTATCATATAGTTTTCAGGTGAGGAACTTTTGCCTTTCAATTGAGGCGTTTTTGTGGTGTTTTCATTAATCTTTTCTGGGAAATATGGAAAAGGCCGACACATACTGAGATAAAAATTTAGTTTTTTCCAAACTATTTCGTCTCAAGTTTTGAAAATTTATTTCAGTTTTCTTCCTCTTATTTGTACAAAATTTGGGATATATATTTGGTGCAAAATCTATGTTTTTGTGACAAAAATTATTGAAAAGTCACGGTCGAACAACCACCATGCTTACATTTCTCATTTAACAGTTTTTTATGCAATTTTATCGATCAATAAATTGTAATTTTACAGCAATTTTACAGCTCAGCAAAAAAATTAGCAAAAATCTGTTGACAGAAACTATAAGTGATAAAATATACAACTGAGTTTTTTGGTTTATTTTTCCTGTGTGTATAGACTACAATACATGCGATGTCATGCCGACTCAAAAGCAAAACATAATAAAATACTCATAACCAAGACATAATATCATTCTCTATTTTGAATTGCTATTTAATAATCCTTTTCCCACAATATTGTGGTATAAAGGTAGCCACAGTTGCAATTAATAGGTTATCAGTTAATATTGTCTATCAAATTTTTCAACTGTTTTTTGAGGGTCTTTTTGTAGCCGTTTGTTTACATAAATTGTTACTTGAGTTTGAGCTTAGCTTTAATTTGACCTCATGACTTCATAACTGTCGTGCTTTGCTTTGCCTTTGGTCATTCGTTCACTGATTGAAAAAAATATTTGAAAAAAGATACCGTTCCGACCTTTTTAGCATAAAACATGCTACAAAGAATAAATAGATCAGAAATAACAAATTCAGATGCAATGCTTGAAAGCTAGGAACAAGCTATCCGACTCCATCGGTCAATTCATGAAGCAATGTGGTCAAAACCAAAACTAATTAATACTCCCGTGCCTGACAAAAACTTAAAAAAAGCTTTTCTCTCAAGCTAACTCATAGATCGCGCTCGTCCAGCCACGCACAAAAATCTCCTCGCAGGAGTCTGAAACAAGGAAAAATGCCCTTATAAATCCTTCATCTTTGGGGACAAATTTTTATAAGGAAAGAGGTACCAGTACGCATTCTATGTCTATTATTTTTATGAATTGAACAGATACTTTGCGTCACCACACAATATATTATATCTGATGAATTGCAAAGTCTCAAACCAATATTGCGACGAGGCATTTTTGATTCTTTAAAATAGGTTAATCAATTGTTTTATTAACCCGTGCGTACTTTATAACAAGAAGGATGGTCCTATTGGACCAGGAACTGGTGAAGTTTAAACACAAAACGCGCTTTGCTCATTCAAAGTACTTGGCATAATAATTGACATGTACCCCACAGGATTGACCCCTATGGCCTTCAGAATTGTGGTCGCTAAGTGTATCGATCCACAAAAGTACTGTGCGGTAAAGGCAGCTGGTTCACTCCGGGCTCAACAATCGGTAATTCCCATTGTCTAGGTGTAAAGCTTCATTTACCCGAAAGTCCTACTGCTCTCACGTTAATTTTTATAATTGGTAATGAGACTAAAGGCCATGTTAAACGGTGCAATTTTTCTTGCAACTTGCAATGCAATTCTACTTCTAAGAGATGTAAATTAGTGAAGAGTCTTGCAGAAGACAAGTGCATGAAGTGTAATAAACACAAAATATACATCTCTCCCAAATATACATCTCTCAAAAGTAGAATTGCATTGCAAGTTGCAAGAAAAATTGACCGTGTAATAGAGCCTTAAATGCCTTAATAATATTTTCCATAAATTTCCTTAGGGATGGAAATTATGATAACTGCGAGACTGTCATTATTATTCATCAATATCGAATATGTATTTGTTGGTTTACTATGTAACAGCTACAGCTGTACTGAAGATATTAGAAAAAATATTAGAGTATCCTTGATGATGATATGATGCAAAAAGTAAAACTAACTGCCACTTCTCCATTTAGAATGAAAGCATACATGAAAGAATACACGCCAGCATTAGATTTAAAACGAGAAGATCTTGAAACAGCTGACAGTTGTTACAGCATTGGAGTCACACTAAATGAGATGAAAGATTACAAGACAGCATTGAAGTCGCATCAAAAAGCCCTCGAGATTCGATTAAAATTGCTAGGGAGAGACCATTTTCAGACAGCTCAAAGTTATTTCAATATTGGGCTCATACAGCATGATTTGAAAGATTACCAGCTTGCGTTAGAGTCATTTCAAAATGCTCTCGAGATTTTTCTGAAATTATTTGGATTAGATCATTTGGGATCAGCAGAAAGTTATTATAATATCGGAATCATTCAGCATAAGATGGGAGACGACAAGTCAGCATTAGAGTCGCATCAAAAGGCCTTGGAAATCAGATTGAAACTCCGTGGAAAAGATCATCCCGCGACAGCTGAAAGTTATTTTACGACTGCAATCATCCAACATGCAATAAAAAAATACAACTCAGCATTAGAGTTGCGTCAAAAAGCTCTTGAAATAAGGTTGAAACTACATGGGAAAGATAACTTTCAGACAGCCCTAAGTCATTTCAGCATTGGGATCACACTACATGAGATGAAAGATTACCAGCTTGCATTAGAGTCACATCGAATTGCTCTTGAAATCTTTCTCAAGTTATATGGAGAAGATCATCCTGCGACGGCTGAAAGTTATTACAGAATTGGCGTCACGCAACATGAGATGAAAGATTACCAGTCAGCATTAGAGTCGCATCAAAAAGCTCTTGGAATAAATTTAAGATTATATGGAGAAGATCATCCTGCGACGGCTGAAGGTTACTACAAAATTAGCATCACCCAACATGAGATGAAAGATTACCAGTCGGCACAGGAATCGCACGAAAAGGCTGAAAAGATAAGATCGAGATTATATGGAGATGATGTTCTTGAAACCGCTGACGGTAATCTAAGAGATCCGAAATCTTTGGGTTTGGTACTGGAAGCTTTGTCATTGATTGAAGAAACATCAATTCCTGAAAGTTCGCCATTCACGAGTACATGAGTGAATAAACATGCATGGGGCATACTTTTAAAGACAGGCTTAATACATTTTGTCATTTACCTCTATACGATTGTACTTTACAGGGGCGAAGGGACTGTTCGAAATGCATGCCCCGCTAACGTTTAAAGTAATAAGTTTTAATTTATCATGTAGATAATAGTTTGTAGAACAGTCAAGAACTGACTAGAACTTTGGTCTTAACAAGTGTAACGAAAACATTGATATATAATGATATGAACAATATTCAACATAAATTCTAGCAGTTTCGGTGTTCAGAAGCAGTGGCGTAGCTATGGGGGTGAATTGTCCCCCCAAGAGACTATTTTTCAAATACGTTGAAATCTGGTTAGAAAATTGTTTCGGGTGGTCGAATGGTGAAAGAAGACCTGTTAACAAGAAAGGAACAAACCGACAACCCCTATTTTTTATTATATTAGATGCTCTAGAATTTTTAATTTCGCCAATGAGGATGTCACCAGACATCCGACACGCGCTCGCCCCCCAAAGTGACAGCCCTGGCTACGCCCTTGTACAGAGGTTTGCTGATGAGCACTGACTAATAGTGCATGATAGGTCACAATATGTATGTAGCCACGTACTCTACCATATATTATTATTATTGTTGAGAAAGTTGTGGAGTATTAATGTATTTTTTGTTAATTCAGACTTTTTTTAATTTGCTTGGGCAATATCGAAAAGTTGTTATTCGGACCGTAACTTGAATGTATTTTATAGAAGGCAGACAAATACTACCCCGAGAAATCTGAATTAGACGATCAAAGCAATGTCTCCAATTCCTTGCAGGGCAGGGGCGCCGGAAGCAGTTCAGGGCGGCGCGGGCAGAGTTTCAGAAAAGGGCACATTCATTTTACCTTAGCAACCACACGAAGAGGAAACTCAAATTTACAAGTACATGCGAACTTGCATATCCACGGGAGAACGCATGTCAATAATTTTACCGGTTAGTTTCTGTGCGAAAAGTAGGCATCATGATTAAGTGTTGAACTTATGATACTTATGGTAGCAAAGGGCACAGGGCTGCCGCCGCTGCTCCCGTGGTTCCAGCGCCCCTGTTGCAGGGTATGGTCAGACATGGAGAATGTCTCTAATTCATTGCAGGGTATATCTTACCGGCTAGCGAGCGCCCTAAAACTGGTTTGTTTAGGCGTGATGATATAATTATACCGATCAATGGAAATTTGTTGTGAATACTTGCGTTGTATTAAAGAATTGCTTGAAACGTCGAATTTTTATGCATATTACATTTACTGACTGAAAATACTCTAAGTGCATGGTTCTCGTAATTATTTGTATACAAACGTCTGAATTGTAGCTCTCTTAAAGTTTGGTTTGCTTGGGCGTGATAAACTTGGTTAAACGATCGCGACTAAACTGCGAACTTGTTTGTTTGGCGGTGATCCCGGCGTCTGTTTAATTTTGCCCGCGTTTGTACAAAAAAGAAACGGAATGCGCACACAGCGCTTCGGTTCTCCTGTATTTAATCCGTCATGTCTAGATATTTACACTCGGCTAAAGGCATAAAACGGCTTTCAAAGACAAGGATCGAAGAGATTGCAGCGTCGTGGACATATAAAAGCTGGAGAAAAACACGATTTTTCTCGATAAAAAATAGTGATATAATACTTAAGCCGCTTCTAATCTCTATAGTCCATATTCAATCATGGCACAACATCATCTCACAATGTAAATTGAAGTATGAATCAGACATGTTCAGATATGAACACTCGATATGTTGAAAGACATACTACACATATATAGGCAGACATGTTAATATGGATATTACCATATATAAACATCTGAATTGGTGCTGCGGGGTTTTCTTAATTTCGACAGATGTTCAAACAGTCTCGGGGTACAATTGCGTCAATGATCAGCTAAAGTTAATGTACTGTGAGAATTTTAGTCACAGAGACATTAGAACCATATTAAACCGTCATACCACAGTTAATAGAATATACATGATTTGGAGACTAAATAAAAGTACAAAACAACTCATTAACTATGTTATTGTCCAGGTTTATGCAAAAAATGGTCCCTTTCTGGTCACGTTTCTATTGTATTTTAGCCAAATTTACCAATGGCATTCGTCTTGCTAAGCTCCTCAATCTTGACTTGAAAAATATGTTAATTTTAAGATTACTTTTGGTTTTTCTGTGCAAAATACAATACATGTGATGAGAAAGGAACAATTTTTTACATAAATCTACCTCAAAATATAGTTATAACCATGTATATTCTAGTAACTGTGGTCATACTTAAGTGCTCTTCAGTTGTGTTATACGATTGCTTATTGTCTAAACTCCAGGCTTGTTATTTCACGCGGTAGTTTCTTTATGCCGAGTTTTACCCCATGAAAAGTATGGAAACCTAACAGATTTCGTAAAACAAGTAACTCATAACACTCAGTCACTTACCTTATGAATTGTTCAAATATTTCAGTCCTGATATTCGCTGTACTTGCGGTAGAGTTAGTAATCTTCGAACCATTGAATTCAGGGTAAATCACAAAGACAAAAGCAACGGAATGAATAAAATATTTATAGCAGCCTATATCGGCTACAACGGGCAGTTTTCGGCAGGACAAATATAAGAATGTTTTGACAATTTAGTTGTTTGTCCAGGATTGTTGATCATACCCTTTGTTGATTGTTAATTGTAAGCTTAATTTATGCTGGATATTTGCTTAAACTAAGGTCTTTGGGTAGGGTCGCAGCGCAAGAATGATTTTCATTGGCTAAACTTCACAATACATTTCTGTTTCAACCAATTGCATAGCTTCGTTCTTTAGAAAGGATAGAAAAGCATTACCCAATTGGACGAAAGCTTACTCACCTTTTTTTAAAGCATTGTCAAATAATTATCTAGCATTTTTTAAAGGTATTCTTTCTCGAATTAGGGTTAACGTAAAATAATCGAATAAGCGCCGCACCTCAATAAAAAAATTAATAAGCGCCGCGGCGCCTATTTAGGAAGATATAAATAAACGCTAAAAAATGTAGAAATAAACGATTCTTTATTAAAACGCGTTAATCCTAACATTTGAACTATTGAAAACGCCGATCAGTATTAAAAATTTAAAGTTTTATTGTCGAATATCTCTTACAACCGGGCTCATATAACAATTGTGATAGTTTAAAATTTTCCTTTTTCCTAATTAACTCCGTGTCTAACACTTGGGCATGTCGTCGATTCGCCGTATATGCTGTGAACTTAGCGTGAATCACCAGCCCAGCCTCGCGCTTTCTTAGTTCCTGTAACCTCTACGAAACGTTTATTCGATTCATCGGCCTTCAGAAAATAATCTTTTTGCTCACTTTGAAATAAGCGCCGCTGTCAAATAAGCTCCGCGTCTTTAAATCGATATTTGCAATAAGCGCCGCGGCGCTTAATCGATCATTTACGGTAGTTATAATGGTCCACACACACTGGACGCGGTTCGCTTAAGGCCCTTTTTTCGGTGCAATTTTTCTTGCAACTTGCAATGCAATTCTTCTTTTAAGAGATGTAAATTTGGCAACTACCTTTTTTTTGTCTTTATTACACTCCTTGGTGCTTCTTACACTAACATTTTAAAGACGCGTCTTCACTAATTTACATCTCTTAAAAGTAGAATTGCGTTGCAAGTTGCAAGAAAAATCGCAGCCAAAATTGCAAGTGTAAACGGGCCTTTAGATTTTTATTCGAAAATCTTCTTTAGAAATCCATAAGCAATGGCTAGCGTTGTTAATAAGACATATTGAATTAATGTAATCGACACGTTCAACGCGAATCTATCTTTCAACGATGGGAGACGTCTACTGATGGGGAAACTAGCTGAGTTAATTCGCCGTAGCATTGTTAGATATTTCCTTTAAAAATACTCTAGGAAAATCCATAACCAATTGTATTTGTAATGAGGCATTTTAAATTTAAAATTAGCTAGCTCTGGATCCGCCACTAAAAAGGGAAAACCAGGTCTGAAATTTCCAATTTAAAAAAAAATTCTGAAATTTAAGACTTCCTGTAACCAACCATGTCAACCATGCATGTCCCGTCAATTTCACAGCATGTGACCATGAGCAGAACGCTGTCGCAGACAGTCGAAGTAAAAGAACAGGCGTGTACAAACACAGTCAAATTGCTATTTATCGACGTTCAAACCCAAGGAACTCGACAATTGAGGTACCACTTTATAGTTCTGTTGTTGCATGAACGGTTGATGTTTTGTAATGATGTTTAATGGCTTATGCTAGTCCAGCGGGGACTTCCTGTATTCTGACATAGCTTCGTTCACGTCGTGGATTATATCTTTTCACGAATAACCGACGTTTGCACATGCTTTGCCAAATACTAGGGGAGTTTATTGCAATATATATTTAAGGTGTCAGCCCAACGAGACGTTTATTAGCCTTCAAATTTGAGTCACATGAATTGGTTTGTCGAATGCGTAATTCTCGTGAAATCGCAACACTCGGCTGGATAATTTATATCCTTTTCTATTTGCCACAAATATAATATCGTGCGCAAACGTAATTGTCAATTCGATCTAAATTATAAGAAATTATGAATATATATATATACATAAAGAAATGCGGATTAAAGATTATTGAACACACATGCAGTAATAATTATATAAGTGATAGAAGTTAAGCCATGCACTAAGGGAGCGAATTATAAAGTAAGATTATATATCAAAATAGGGTTTTATTTCCTGCTGACTTCCGGGTGTTTTCACAGAAGTGACAGAACTGTGATGACGATGAAGTGGATATAATTATTTTGATCTTATTTTGCCCCTTTCTCGCAAAAAATATTATGTCACTTAGCTCTTCTTGCTGTCATATTGAATATTTCGAAACAAGGTAAAGGAAAATACCTTTGAACCCCTAAGCTGTTTAAAGCTACCCTTGCTACCTAGTACTTGTCACAGTTTCGTTTAACAGTGCATGCTATCACAACGTCGCTGTGTTAGCTATGGAAGCGCTCTGAAGTAAATTGAGAATTTTATTTACTCACATAGTGCTAAATCGATTGATTTACACGGATTTATTAAGTCTTAAAATCTAGCCCCACAACAGACTTGTTCTTGTATAATAAAACCTTTTATTTTGAAAAATATAAAAATCTTTTCACGCGATATTGCAAGCCAAGCCGCTCTGAGACTGAGTGAAAAATGACTTGTAGGAATCTTCAATCACTATTGTTACCCAGACCAGATGCGCTCAAAGGTGGATTTCAGAGACCGCGCAGCCTGTTTAAAAGTTGGGGGGGGGGGCGGGTGGGGGCTCGGGATTCAAAATATACTTGCTCGCGCGTCTCTGAATTTGTTGTGGTGCCCAGACTTGAGATGCATAGCATAGCTTTGAACGTACAAGAGTCAAACAGAGTCCGACGAACCGAGATAGATTTTATATCCAGTGTAGATCTCCTAACGTATCCGAGCATTCTCGTTGATTGAGCACATTGGTCTTAAAGCTATCCAACAGTTTTTCCTCAAAACTTTGTTGTTCAAGCTCTAAGCACCAGCACTTTCTAAAATAGTATTTATTGGTAATCCTTGCCGTGCTGCAGCCGACGTCGAAGCTGATCTAGTGCTGTGTGCTCCATAAATATTCGTATCTATACCAGCCTGTGCCAAGGTCGTTCTAATCCATCGTGCGATCGTATCCTTGCTTGCAGCGTTGTGAGGTTTTTGGTGGGTGATAAACAAAGCAGATTCATTTTGCCGAATACCTTCTGTGGTCTTCAGGTAAGCTTTCAGGCATAGAACCACACATATTTGTGGGTCAGGTAGATAAGCTCGTAATTCGATGGGCTTCAGATGTATCCCAGGTCTAGAGTGCTTTTACTAATGAAAAATGTGCATTTATTTTCCTCCTGTGACATACTGTTTTCTTCTATGGATAACGCGCATGAAGTGTTTGGCATCTTTGCCCAGTGCTCAGAATACCAATAAGTACTGCCAGCTTACAGGTTAGTTCTTTTAGATATTTTATCATACTCCGGTAACTCAACAAACCATAAGGGTCCCATGTTTTATTATGTCTCGGCAATGACGGTTTGTCTTCAAAGACGCCTTCAATAGCCGCTTGACCAAGGGATGTTTCCCAAACGATGTGCCATCAGGGAGTGTTAGTACACTTGATAGTGCACTCCGTGCGATATTCACGGCGTTGTAACCAACCTTATCAGCGAGCTCTGCAAGAAAATTTACCCCGACAGAGATAGGTGCTGAAATTGGATCACACCCCTGCGGTTTTACAGTATAGTGCCCAGTCTTTAAGGTATGTGTTATATTGTTTTTGTGTGCCTTGGCGCCAAGCTTTGAGCATAAGGGTGGTAGCTTTTTCAAAAATGCCCGTCTCATGAAGGCTTTTCCGGATACATGACATGCCACCAGTGGGAGAATTTCCTCTGGGTAACATGGAAGGCATAAATTGTTTTTCTTTGGTGGTATCCGTAATGGATGTTGGATCAGCATCCTCATCAAAGCTGGGTACCACACTTGAGTTGGCCAGTTCGGTATCACTGACTAGCACTCCAGTGGCCTCCTCCTTTTCGATTTTCTGTATTGTTTGGGTGATCACACTAAATGGTGGGAAAGCGTAGAACATCATGGGCTGTCAATTTAAAGAAAAGGCGTCTACAGCTATACATTCTGGATCTGGTCTACATGAAGCATACAGTTTGCACTGGGTGTTATGCCGAGATGCAAACAAATCAACCTCTGGTTGATAATTAATTGTCTTAAGTGCACTGTTAAGCAATTCCTTGTTCAACTGCCATTCTTTCCCTGTGTGTACCCGTCGAGACTCGTAGTCAGCAGATTGATTGTCTACCCAAGGTATATGTGCTGCAGTAAGCCAAATTTTGTTCTCAGCACACCACACCCAGATTTTTCTGGTCAAGGTATTGCAACCATCTGAATGACTAGTGCCCATGTGATTAATGCAAGAGACCGCTGTTGTATTGTCGTACATAGTCTTAACATGTTTCCGTTCAATATTAATGCGAAAAGCCTTAAAACAGTACCAAATGGCAAGTAACTCCAGTTAATTAATATAGTGCTTAGCTTCTGTTGGTGTCCAGTAATCACCAGTCCTAGTCTGGCCTTCAATAACTCCACCCTCCACCTTAGCATCAGTGAACACTGTTATGTCTGGTGAGCACCTGTTGATTATATTTTATGCAGATGGAATGTTGCTAACCCACCAATCCAACTCCTTTTTTGCATTTGCAGTCAGGGTCATTTTCCCTTCATAGTCACCCTTACATTGTTTTAGGGCTAGAGATTTTTCCCCCTCCAGGGTTCGGTAATAAAGGGCCCAAACGTAACCCCAAGGAAGCCTGCCACCATATAGCCAATCACTTGTGTAACATTACGTATTGATCGTGTTTTAGACTGCATTAAGATTTTACATTCCTTAACTAGCCGAGTTGCTTTTTCAGGGGTTAGCTTGATAGTCATGTCAATTGAGTTTAGTACAAACCCAAGAACAAGCAGCGTTTGTGTTGGTTGAAAAACTGACTTTTCAGGGTGAGCAACTAACCCCAAAGAGTGAATTAGATTAACTGTCTCATTAATGTTAGCTTAGCACTCCTCTGTAGTGTCCCCTTGTAAGTATGTGTCATCAATGTAAGATGCTGATATGTGACCCTTTTTCCTTAAAGTGGCAAAGACTGGCTTCATTAATTTAGTGAATTTCCGAGAGCAACATGCCAGCGCATTCGGGAAACAAGTAAAGTTGTAATATTGATTGTTCCAGGAAAATTTTAGGTATTTTTGATCCTCTTTTGCTTCTGGACATGAATAATAAGCATCTTTAAGGTCAACTGATTCTATCCAGCAATTTTCCTTTACTAATTTAATAATGGAGTGCAAAGTATCCATTCTAAAATGGTGGTAAACACATTTTGATTCAGACTTTTTAAATTCAAAATAAGCCTATGTGAACCATCTTTTTTAGGTTGCAGAAAGATTTTAGATATGAAGTCATGGCCTCGAACCATATCTAAAATTTCTGGGTCAGATTTTCCATTGATGCACAAAATTAGAAATCTGGCCTGCTTTAAAACATTTTACTTTTGCAAAGCCATTTCTTTTATGCGCTGACTATTCATATCATTATTCCTGCCATAGCGTAGACTTGCCTATAATTAATTTGTTTGAGAAGTTAAAGTTGTCCTGCTTCCTTCTTGGAGGGGTATTTCTTCCTTACTCTGCCTTTCTGGCGACCGTCCCGAAAAAACTCCCGAGGTCTGTAGTTAATATATCTGCGTGATCCTGATTAAATGACTGCGAGGAGCTGGTCTTTCAAACTTATGGTAGTTGGAGCTAACTTTACTACCAATAAGGCTAGATTCCTTCAGATCTTTCATTTCTTTCTGAAGGTCATCCCCAAAAAGGAGGGATGTGACTGGTAGATCAGGATTATACAGATTTCTGTAATCCGCATGTAATGTAGGGCGCATAAGTTTTCGTCTCAATAGTGATAAGTCCGTATTAATATGACCAGGCATTGCAGCTGCATCTGCAACATATCGTATAATTTGAGATGTGTCTAAATATGTCGAGTTTTGGTCCTTACATGCTGCATCCAAAGTATAAGCAAGGCTAGCACCCACCGCGACACATGTTTTTTGGATGTTTGTAATCTTAACATCGTTGCGTCTTTGGTACGATTCTAGTGTCTTCCAGACAAGCGTGTTCACACGCGGGACGCGAATAATTTCGCAGTTGTCAGGCCTATTGTATTTGGCCATTTTGTCTTTTAATATTTTTATGTCCATTCGCGTTTCCCAGCGTTTGTTCATAGTTTTGGCCACATGCGCCTCCACTTGAGGCCCAGTAGCATCATTCTCGTACTCTTGTTCAATTTCGTCCAAAACATTTGCGTGGGTGGTGTTGTCATTGCTTTTGACACAATCTTCCGTGGCGTTCTTTGCCGCAGCCATTTTGGCGCCAATTAACATTTCAGCGTCGTCGCTGTCATTAGCAGTTCACTGCCACTTTTTCACCGTCATTAATCTCTTTACTGTGTTTTTTCCGATGACTTGCGGTATGGCTCTCGTCGTGTGGAATATTTTTTCGTTTTTTGGTAACAGTACTCGTTATTTTCGCACTTTCCTCTCGACCGCGTGGCGAGGCTGTGTGCTGTTGGCTCAATTGCAGGGTCTTAATTGACGAAGCCATATTATTCATGCTTTCTTGCATTTGCTTTATCAGATTATACATCGGATCAGGTACGCTAGTCGACGCTCTCTCAGAAACTAAACTGTACTCATTTGGTGCATCACTAAGCAGCTCGTTCTCGTCAATCTCCTGTTCAATGACTCTCACTCTCTTGCTCGACCTCTTTCGCTGTCGACATTTCTTGCGTACCACTTATTAACAATTTGGCTAAGTAATGTTTCGTTATTGTATGTATTGTCGATCATATCCAGCCACGTACCTCGGATTTTTGTGGGTAGCCTGCGCATGCGCGGTTAACCACTATGTAGTCGAAAAAGTGTCCGGATCCAGCCTCGTTCCCAGGCGCTTTAAATAAAATAAAATATAGGAACACTACAGGCTTTTTACATAGATCAGTGGCTAAGCAGAGCGAGCACGCAAGGAATTTTGGGGAGGACGCAGAGAAGGAAGCGCCTCGCAGAAAATACATAAAACATGGCGCCTCACGATTTATGACTTATGAGTTCACTTCATTGTTGTTTATTATTCAAAAGTGCAAAAAAGGAACTTGTTAAAATATTAATTCTGCCCGACTTTTTAAGAGCGATACACAGAAATATATGCATGGGGAAAATTTTATGCACGAATAAGAGGAGTGTTTAGTGAGCGCGCGGGGGTGCTTGGGGTGCTTTTGCCAAATTTAGCGCCTGGTAGAAAATGAATTCAACATGGGAACAATCAAATGAATGAACAATATAATACAATACGATATAATTATACACTATAATTACTTGAATTAGATCCAGGTGTACGGAAAATCCGTATAATATGAACTAAACTCGATAAAATATAAACTATAATTCAACAAAAAAACAACAACTCAATTTCCATGTGCTCGATATATAAAGACCCCGTGCAAAGACCCCCGGAGCTAAATCCCCGGGCAAGTATAACGTCTAATTTCATACACACTCCCCCCGATTAAATGACGCATGTCAGTTAATAATGTCAACAATGTTGACAGTACAATGTTTCTGTGATAACAAACAAGTACTTATCGTGCGCTTTCGCTCTGCCGCTTTCTGGCTTCGATAGCTGCAACTCGTTCCGACCTCCTTACTGGAACACTTGTATTTTCATCAACGCGAGATCCCTCGACTGGATATACTTTCTGAACCGGTCGCCGTAACGTTATTGATTCTTCTCCTTTGTTCCATATTCGGAGTGCAACTGCTCTAACCTGACCATCGTTTCCTTTGAAAAGTTTCTCGACCTTTCCCAATCTCCATAGATTCCTTGGAGTTTTCTCTTCGTACACGCAAACTATATCTCCTTCTTTGGGATTCGCCTTCGCACTTCTTCTAACTCCTTTGGCACGATGATGTTCTCTGAGCTCTAACAAATACTCGCGACTCCATCTGTTCCAGAAATGTTCTAACAATTTCTTCAAATAAGTTGCGCGACGCGACAAACGTCCATTACCCGTAGGAGTGTCAGTCTCCTCTCTCGTGGCATGTGCTTGACTGAGAAGGCGACGACCCATAACTAAATGCGAAGGTGTTAACGGACCTTCACAAACTTCATCACTATACACATACGTCAGTGGACGACTGTTGATAACGCCTTCAATCTCCACTAAGACTGTCTCCAATTCTTCGTACGTCAATCTAGCTCTTCTAACAATTTTTGAGACACCTTTTCACCGATTTCACTAGTCTTTCAAAAAATCCTCCCCACCAAGGGGCTCTCTCAATATTGAATTTCCAACTGATGTTATTTCCGGTTGCGAATTCTGCAAGCTCGTTTGCCTTAAAGGTTTTTCCATTGTCTGAAATAAACATCTTTGGGATACCTCTTCTAGACATGAATCTCTGTAAACAGCGAATAAATGCCTTCGTAGATAGATCTGGAACCAATTCGAGATGCAATGCTCGTGACGAGGCACACGTAAATAGACAGATATACGTCTTAAAAACTGGTGATTTCGCACCTGTTGAGAAGATTGGTTTGGCATAAACGGGACCAGCGAAGTCCACACCGACTCTCGTGAAAGCAAAGTCGTCAGAAACTCGAAAATCTGGTAATGATGGTTGAAGTGGTATCTGATAAGTTCCTCCTTCATATCTCTTGCACGTAGTACATTTTGCAATAATCTTCTTGACACATTGTCTTCCTCTCGCAATCCAATGTTCTGAACGAATTTCGCAAAGTGTTTCTCTTACACCATTGTGCATTACTCTCCTGTGACATTCTTCCACCAGCAAGGTAGAAAACCAATGATCATTGGGCAAGAAAACTGGATGTTTAGCAGAAAGTTCAATATTAGCATTGGATAATCTTCCACCACATCTCCATATACCACAATCATCTTTGAATAGACCCAGTGATGCTTGAATTTGCTTGAAACTTTTGCTCGTTTGAATCGTTCCTTTTATGTACTTATACCATATATGCTTAGCTTCTGTTATTTCTTCAAGGGAAAGACGACTTAGATTTTGTTCAGTTCCAGCAACCTTTGCCCGAAGGTTTGCGATGAATCTTAGAACATAACTCGTAACTCTTAGCAGTTTGCCAAGAGTGCTGTATCGTTCCTTTGGCAAAATGTTCTCTAACGATGATTGCGATTGCTTTTCTGTAACATTGTCATTTACACATGACAAGCTGGTTGTACCAGTTGGTTTGAATTTGACTTCTCTCTCACTTTGAATTCGAGCCTCATCGTTAGAAATCATTTCTTCACTATCTTAGGCCATTCAGAATCATTTCTTACCAAGAAATCTGGTCCATTCCACCATAACTTGCTCTGACTCAGTTCTGAAGGTAACATACCTCTTGAAACAATATCTGCTGGGTTGTTAAGTCCCGGACAGAATCTCCAATCTTTCACAGGCACCAGCTTACGGATTTCTACCACACGATTTTGAACAAATTGCTTGAATTCTTTAGAAGTACCCTTTATCCACGATAAAGCTATCATCGAATCTAGCCAGCAGTAAACTGAGGTTATCTTGATCACGTTCGCAAATGCTAACTGAACTGAATGAATAAGTCTCGCCAAAACCAATGCCGATAAAAGTTCTAGTCGAGGAATGGTTTGCTCTGTTAAGGGTGCTACTCTACTCTTGGATGCAATGATATTCATGTGAACCTGTTCTCACGTACAACTCGCAAATACACCACCGCACCATAGGCATATTTTGAACTGTCCCCAAAGCCATGAAGCTCTATGGACTGGATCGATTCCTTGTTTTCAGGAATAACACATCTTGGAATGGTAATTTCTTGACAGTTGACACATTCGCTCTCCACACTTCCCAGCGAGTACTCAGTTCTAACGGTAACGACATGTCCCAGTCTAGCTCGGCCTTGCACGCATCCTGGAACAGAACTTTCATCATTAGAACAACAGGTGAGATTAATCCCATTGGGTCATAAATCTTTGCAGTTGAACTGAGGAGATCACGCTTCGTGATTGGTTGTAACAACTCTGGTTCGCAGTTCACCATTTTGTCGAGGCGAAAAACGAGTGTATCAGTGGAGTTGTTCCATGTTACACCAAGAACTTTCATCATCAGGCTGGGAGCCAAGAACTTGTTTGGCATATGACATAGAGGTTTCTGTAGAGGTGATTGCATCTTGAGTGCTTGATACTTCATTCTCGGTTTCTCTAATTATTTGTGCTAATTCAGGACAGTTTGTCTTCCATTTTCTCATGTTAAATCCACCTTGATGCATTATCTCCTTTACTCTCGAGTACTGATGTAGCGCTTCTGGTGTGTTGTCTGCTCCTGAATTGAGATCATCTACATAGAGGGATTGTAGCAGGTTTTCTACAATTTTTGGGTCGGTGCTCTGGTATGTGTAGATGTGTTTCTGTAATGTTGCATTTAAGAGGAAGGGGCTTGACGCGACTCCAAAAACTACACGAGCAAATCGATACACTACTACCTCCGGTTGGTCACTCTTGATGTCATTAACCCACAGAAACCTTAGAAAATCTCTATCTTCTTCGGAAATGCTAATGTTCAAGAAAGCTTTCTCTATATCAGCCACCAATGCGATTCTGTGGAGTCGAAACCGAAGAAGGATGTCGAATAATAAAGGTAACAATGACGGACCAACATAGAGACAATCGTTCAATGACGGTCCATTTGATCTTGCGGATGCATCGTATACCACTCTTAGTTTTGTGGTGGACTTTTCGGGTCGAACAACTTCTCTATGTGGCAGGTAATGTACCTTTCCAAGGGGCTTTGGTGTTGACTCTTCAACTCTCTCTATCACTCCGGCCTTCAGTTGGTCATCAATGACTCGATCATACTCTTCCAGCACGTTTGGCTTCGCTTTGAGTCGTCTTAGCTGGGAATTCAATCGGTTTATACTTAGCTTGTAGTTATCAGGTAACAGTTCATTTTCCTCTTTCCATGGCAATTTGACTTCATACCTTTCTCCTTTAAATTCTGTATCTTCAAGGAACTTGTGGTAGACACTTTCTTCTTCACTCTTGATGCCCAGGCTTTCTAATTCCCAAAATTTCTTTACTTCGCTTTGTAGATCACTATTTCTGGTTTCAACTTCAGTCTCGACACGAAGAACATGAGTGGAACTAAGGTTAATCGAGGCAGCTCGACTTTCTCTCACGACCGCTGGCCCACTGAGGACCCATCCGAGTCTTGTGTAAGTAGCAACTGGGCTACCTTGGCCGCCTCTTTTCTCAATCTTACTTACAAAGTCCCAGTAGTGGTCTGCACCAATTAACACATCAACCCGTAATTCTTCTTCATCTCTTGCTTCTTCTGCCAATCTGAGTCCCTTCAGATGGGTGTACTCTTGCTTTGCAGAGTTGATGATCTGCCCATTAAGAGGGGCACAGATGGTAGGTACGGCATATGCATTGATACATAAGGATGAATTATCATGACGACTGTTCACAATGCATTCAACCAGAGGGCATTCTTGAATTTGTTCTGATGTACTTCCAAAAGTCTTAATCATCAATGTATTGGATCTAACAGCTTGGAGAGATAACTTTTCTTTGAGGCTTTCTGATATATATGTCCTTTGACTTCCAAGGTCAAACATGATACGTGCTTTAATTTGAATTTGTGGGTTTTGTACACTGGATATTCTGGCTGATGCAGTCTGAAGGAGCACCGCTTTCGGTTGATCTTGGCCAATACATGCAATGTTTGCTGTCGAAGGAAGTTTTGGACTTTGGTCATTCTTAGTTCCATCCTTTTCAGGCTTGGTAGACTCTTGTTCTTGGGATGTTCCTGGAAGAGGACATAACTTGGGACAGATACTAGTATGGTGACGTTGACTACATTTGAAACATCTCTTCTCTGATGGGCAATCTCTGATAATATGATTTGACCGTAGACATTGGAAACACCGTCCCTTCTGACGTAAAACAGCTTTCCTTGCTGCAATATCAGTAACCATAGTACATCTCGCCGAGGGATGTTGTTGGCCGCAGTAGGTGCAGGTTACTTTACCTTCATTTCCTGAACCTGAAAATAGGGATGATGCTGTAAATGGTTTGGGTTTTTCATTCCAGGATGGCTTCTTTGAATTATCACTGGCTGATGCTTCCGATACAAAATTGCACTTTTCTCTTGCTTGAAGCTCTTCATTAAACGTAGAAAGTAGATTATCCAGATCCCAAATATCTGATGTTGTTTTTCGTGAAATTATCAAACGAAGCTCGTTCGGTAACTTCGACATCATGATAGGCGCCAACAAACTTCCATACATCTCCGAATTAACTCCCAGGCTCTTTAGTGATCGAACATTCGATTCAATTGAATCATAGACACTCCTCAGACTCTTGACATCCCGTAGACTTGATACACTTGGCAGCTTCAATAGTTTATCCATATGTTTGCTTATAATCAGTTTCTTATTTCCGAATCGATCTTGAAGGATCTTTACAGCTTCAATGTAGTTGTCCCCACTCAGCGACAGACCTGATATAGCTTGCAAAGCTGTATTCTCTAGTAGACCAAGAAGATAGTTGAATTTATCAATACTACTCAATACCGTATTTTCATGGACTGCACAATTGAATGATTCCCAAAATTGTTGCCAACACGTTTGATCCCCATTAAATTTCTTTAAATGTAGCTTAGGTAACTTAACTTGACTTGGATAAGGTTGATTGACACTTGTATTCGGAGTAGCAACGCCACTTGTGCTGGGTTCACTTACTTGTTGTGTAGAAACTAGAACACTTTCAATTTGAAAAATACACTCTTTAATATTACGTTTAAAATCGCCGCTATCCTCGATTTCCTTCTCAATATCGTCGTCCTTCGTTCCCTGGAGAATATCTTCGTCTAATTTTGGGATTAATTCCAACTTCTCATGCAAAACATCTTGATATGAACGAAGGACACTGACTTGATTTTCATCGAAGCTTTCAATAACTTGCTTTGCCTTGGCAATAGTTTTCGTCGTATGCGCTCGATGACCCGCTCGTATTTTCCTTATTGCAGGGACCGCGGAGCAGTTTTTGGATTGGGGGGGCTAGCGAAGCCGAAAGAGTAAACCCTCGGGGGGGGGGGGACCATACTTATCTGTTTATATTTTTCTTGTAAACACTTCAATGAAAACATTGTTCACCAACACGGATAGTGAACACATAATTATGATTACACAACTTACTATAAGGAGTTTTTATTCGTATTATTATGGCCATATAAAAATCGCTATAAAGGAATCACATGTATTTTGAAAATTATTGGGGGGGCTAAAGCCCCCCAGCCCCCCCCCCTCCGCGGTCCCTGTATTGTTGTCAAATTTGCTTCAGTTATGATGTAAAAACATTGAATTTCTAAATTCCTTTTGAAAATATCCGGCTCGAAGGACCATGTACGGAAAATCCGTATAATATGAACTAAACTCGATAAAATATAAACTATAATTCAACAAAAAAACAACAACTCAATTTCCATGTGCTCGATATATAAAGACCCCGTGCAAAGACCCCCGGAGCTAAATCCCCAGGCAAGTATAACGTCTAATTTCATACACCAGGTTTTTACAGATACACCGGTTTTTAAAAGTGCTATAGGTTGATTAATATTATGTTACAAATTATATCCGATAAGTATCACGTATGGGATCAATTTACTTTTTGAATTCATCATCGGATTATTAAACCTGTAAACAAAGGAATATGAGTTTATCTTTTATGTCATGAACAGAAACCTCTTAATATGTTGTAAATGCGCTCGCTTTTCCCAATAGTAAATATGTAAATACGGCATGCGATTATTCGAGTACTCTACGGATATAGTCACTCCAACGGAAAATATCTAAATAAAAGTACCTTCAGATGATTCTTCGCCAAAGGAAACGTTCATAATACTTGGCTAGCCCGTCGACAGTCGATAATATATAAATAATATAAATAATGAGAATAAAAAAATGCAAAGTACAAGCGTTTTCCAGAAAACGGTCACGATTTGCCAGAAATCGGTCATTTTCTGCCAGGTGCTTCCTCGCTAAAAGAGACCTCCCCAAGCACCCTTGCGCGCTTGCTTTTTTCAGCTGAACTCTATACAATACCTGAATGCAACGTTATACATTTTAGTATTAAACCGCCTGGGTACGAGGCTGTATACACAATTCATTCCAAATCTGCGGCCAATCTGTGCCTTCTTTTATTGCATTGGCCACTTGACAAATTATATGCTAGACTAGAAATACATGCATGCAGCAACCCCTCGCCATTTCAAACGAAGCAAAATATTTCCTGAGCTAGCCAGACCTAACCTTCACTATGATGAAATGTCCTAAATGTAAAGCCGATAGCTGATGTTTCAAATATTTCGGAAACAAACACAGTCGTAAAGGTGAAGTGAAATCACCCGTTTTCCTGCTGCTTTCCGTTGCATTAAGTTATAGACTTTCACAGTTTAAGTGAGAGTTAATACTTCATTATAGCTAAACCTTCAAAACATCAAAACAGCCCAAATAATATAAATAACCAAGCAGTGAATGTCGAATGTTGTTTTTCGATTATTAAATTCATGCAGTGATTGCAGTCGACTATATATAAACCTTTAAAGTGATATTTGTTATATTGAAACTCCGAATTACACTCTTAAGGACTCTTTTGGAAGTTAAAACGATGATCTATAAAGCCTTAAATAGTCGGTCACGTCTTCGCAAAACCGAGCAAAATGACATACTGTACCAAGGTCATAAAATGTATTCGTACAGCAAACACGAAATAAACCTCGAAATAAACAAAATAGACTCCTACCAATTCAAGGATTATAATCGACTTGTTCCTTTTCACCGCTAATTCCTCCAGTTCTGATAATATTTTAAACTCTTCCCAGTGTTTTATCTGTTATTTGATTCCACATTTCATATTTTGTTTTCGAAACATTTTTTTAAAAAATAGTTTGCAAAATGACAGTTAAATTGCTGACGTTTTTCACTGAAACACAAACGTTTCGTCTTAGCCAATCAGGAAGTTGCTGATTACTTCGTTCGCATTTCGCGCATGCGCACAAGTACCATGACCATTGAACGTCCATGACATTTGGGCAACTTTGGATTCCGCTATGTTCTCCCGGGTCCCGGGTGTAATTCCTAATCTCCGGGCAGAATTAGTACCCTCGCACGGCGCTCCGCACCGGCTTGGGGAATATAGTAGCCAGTAGGTATAATCATAGACTATCGAAGGGAACTATCCCTTCGATAGTCTATGGTATAATGCATTAAAAAAGATTCTAAAGATATTTTGTGTTAACACCAAAGTTCATTAGAAATGTGATAAGAGGCTATATATCAAGTTGAATACATATATTACAAAATGCTTACTTACATACTAACCTATTGGACTTGGATTCAAGTTTTAACAACATGCAGAGATAGCAGATGTTTTCCTGGTCTTTTATTAACTGTTGACTAGTAGCATCAGGCTCTAGATGTATTTGAAAGGTGTTTTAAAAACACGTAAATATGTATCATAACCTGTTGGACACAACCCATGAGGTTCTAACTAGCACACAGTCATAAACAAAAAATAGCAATAGTTGCAGGATTTTCATTCTGGTTAAAATGATCTCCTTGATTGTCGAGTTATTTTACACATTACACATTGGTATATTACAGTGAACTTGTGTACAGTATTTATTGTTAAACACAGGAACATGTTGGGGCATACAAATGAAAGACATACTGTGAGGCAAATCAATGTAAATGTCAACTTCAGGTTTGACTGGCAGAGCTGGCCCAGTTAACATGCATAGAAAGTATTTGAAATATACATACTGTATGACATTTAAAAACATAGAAACATGCTCATACATATATTTTAATGTCAATTGAAAATATACCAGCTTAATGTACTCAGCAGATAGAATAAAATTCCAACGCTTATACCAACTGACTTACTTTGAACATTTTGTCCCCCAAGCGACGATAAATCCAAATCATCAGAACTTGAAGATGCTATTGTAAGGATAATTTTATCATCAATATATGATAACGGTCGACAGATATTATTAGTGAGCTTAAGCAAGTGACGTTTTTGACAACACAAACGGGATGAGTAACGGCAAAAGACTGGGTCAAGGATTGTGATTGGTGAAAAATAAAAATTTTACTTCCGGTCAACGTACGTGTTGTCAAAAACGTCACTTGCTTAAGCTCACTATTATTAGCATATTTAAGAACAACACGAAAGATTTACTGACAGTCTACTCTAAAAACGTACTAAACATTATATAAAATGCAACCAAATTCTGTAAAAAAATATTACCGTCAAATGAGAACTTCTTCAGCGATTGCTCCAGGTCATCCATATGATATGGCCACAAACCACCCAAAACGCAAGAATGTACGAGTAAAACGCCGAAAAGCTCGATTTGTCAGAAATCGTATTTCTGGCAAAAAATATTTGCATTTTCTGCCAGGCGCTCCATTTCTCCGTCGCGCCTCCCCAGAATTCCTTGCGTGCTCGCATTGCTTAGCCACTGATCTATGTAAAAAGCCTGTGTGTGCCTATATTTTATTTTATTTAAAGCGCCTGGGAACGAGGCTGGTCCGGATCTGTGTGTGTTTGTGTGTTTGTTGGGTCCACTGTTGGGTCCCACATCTTCGGCAATCGTCGGACATACGAAAGATGACGAACGGTACGTTCTACTTCCGGAAAATTTCGTTGTTTTCTAAGGACGGAAGCAACCGAAGTCACGTTAATACATTGGTCAAATTTTAAAGCGAAGTTGAGTACTTTAAAGACGAAAAAGCGGCGATTGGTGAGCGTTGAATCTACAACTACAAAGTTACACTGATAGAAAATAAATAAAACATTGCCTTATTCGGCAAATGGTAGTAACAAGTTGTCCTGTTTTATAAATTATAATGCAATATTTCACCTGTCAATTTCTTGCTTGTGGACATGCACTGAGCTAAACCAAATACATTAACTTATTGCAAATGGTAGTAACAAGTTGGCAAGTTGCCCTGTTTTATGAATTATAATTCGGCAAATGGTAGAAACAAGTTGTCCTGTTTTATAAATTATAATGCAATATTTCACCTGTCAATTTCTTGCTTGTGGACATGCAGCTATTAAACCAAATACATTACCTTATTGCAAATGGTAGTAACAAGTTGCCCTGTTTTTTAAATTATAATTCGGCAAATGGTAGTAACAAGTTGCCCTGTTTTATAAATTATAATTCGGCAAATGGTAGTAACAAGTTGCCCTGTTTTATAAATTATAATTTGGCAAATGGTAGTAACAAGTTGCCCTGTTTTATAAATTATAATGAAATATTTCACCTGTCAATTTTTTGCTTGTGGACGTGCAGCTATATTAAACCAAATACATTACCTTATTGCAAATGGTAGTAACAAGTTGGCAAGTTGCCCTGTTTTATAAATTATAATTCGGCAAATGGTAGTAACAAGTTGCCCTGTTTTATAAATTATAATGAAATATTTCACCTGTCAATTTTTTGCTTGTGGACATGCAGCTATATTAAACCAAATACATTACCTTATTGCAAATGGTAGTAACAAGTCGCCCTGTTTTATAAATTATAATGCAATATTTCACCTGTCAATTTCTTGCTTGTGGACATGCAGCTATTAAACCAAATACATTACCTTATTGCAAATGGTAGTAACAAGTTGGCAAGTTGCCCTGTTTTATGAATTATAATTCGACAAATAGTAGTAACAAGTTGTCTTGTTTTATAAATTATAATGCAAAATTTCACCTGTCAATTTCTTGCTTGTGGACATGCAGCTATTAAACCAAACACATTACCTTATTGCAAATGGTAGTAACAAGTTGGCAAGTTGCCCTGTTTTATGAATTATAATTCGACAAATAGTAGTAACAAGTTGTCTTGTTTTAAAATTATAATGCAAAATTTCACCTGTCAATTTCTTGCTTGTGGACATGCAGCTATTAAACCAAATACATTACCTTATTGCAAATGGTAGTAACAAGTTGGCAAGTTGCCCTGTTTTATGAATTATAATTCGACAAATAGTAGTAACAAGTTGTCTTGTTTTATAAATTATAATGCAAAATTTCACCTATCAATTTCTTGCTTGTGGACATGCAGCTATTAAACCAAACACATTACCTTATTGCAAATGGTAGTAACAAGTTGGCAAGTTGCCCTGTTTTATGAATTATAATTCGACAAATAGTAGTAACAAGTTGTCTTGTTTTATAAATTATAATGCAAAATTTCACCTGTCAATTTCTTGCTTGTGGACATGCAGCTATTAAACCAAACACATTACCTTATTGCAAATGGTAGTAACAAGTTGCCCAGCTGTTTCATGAATTATAATTCGGCAAATGGTAGTAACAAGTTGCCCTGTTTTATAAATTATAATGCAATATTTCATCTGTCAATTTCTTGCTTGTGGACATGCAGCTAGTAAACCAAATACAATACCTTATTGCAAATGGTAGTAACAAGTTGCCCTGTTTTATAAATTATAATTTGGCAAATGGTAGTAACAAGTTGCCCTGTTTTATAAATTATAATGCAATATTTTATATGTCAATTTCTTGCTTGTGGACATGCAGCTATTAAACCAAATACATTACCTTATTGCAAATGGTAGTAACAAGTTGCCTTGTTTTATAAATTATAATGCAATATTTCACTTGTCGCATTAATAATGTTTTACAGGCTACCCACATGTACGCAATGCGTACCTATTTTTGCCCTGAGGTTGTATTTTTAAGTAAATTTGTTGGTTAGCAAAGACAACACGTATTGCATTCGCTATCTCATATTATTTCGTAGTGACGTCACTATAACGAAATAGAAACATAATTAGAGAGCATCATTGATTTATGCTTAATACAGACATAACTTCCTGACTCATAACTTCCTGTAACCATGTATTGTTTATATCAGCCTTGTTAACAGTATAGGCATCAATCTGTAGCCTAGAAGTGCATTTAGCTGAGGCTATGTACAGATCAGACACGATTTTCTGCAGATTATTAATTTTTTTCAGCATATAAATTTTGTCATAAGATTTTTGAGAACTAGTTAATGATGGTAAATTTTGACTGCTCTTGTGTCCATTAGTGGGCTGGTTTTCATTGCCGGAAAAGAAATTCGGGAAGTGTTTTTTCGATTTATATTCCTTATGAAATCCCACTCCTGACACCATATTTCGACAGACGCCATTTTATATTTACATATGAACACATGTTCACTGATCCCAAACCTTTAACTGGATACATAAGAAATTCACTTCATTTCATATCGTTTCATTTTCAAAATCCTATTTAGTTTTGTTATTGAACAATTCCGCTTAATAAATGAGCCTACTCAGCCTAGAAGCTACCGTCAAATCCAGGGGCGGCGGCATTTTTTTAGGGGGGGGAGGGGGGGAGGGGGGGGGGGCTAGGGGGGAAGCGGCTGCATTAAAAAAATTCATTTTGTATATACAATGCAGCAGCTGGTTATGTTGATTTTTGTTTCTTTCAGTTCTGTGCTTAGGAAATTTGCTGAATGGGTGAAGCAGCTTCAGCAGCCGGAGATGCTCTGCGTATTGCAGCAAATGCCGGGATATTTAACATCGATATTAGCACTACCAAAGTAGAAGTGGCACGAGAGTTGTGTGATATAGCACGAGAAGTTGGCAACAAAGTGGGGCATGGAGTTGGGCAAGGATTGGGACTAGGAGTTGGACTAGGTCTAAGTCTAGGCGCCCTGTATTTTGGTTATCCAGCATTGAAGTCATTAATTCACGATGCAATTACTAAGGGTGTTGGTGGAAAACGTGATGATCAGGACGTTCGTGACATACGAAAAGGATGTTTGCATTTCGAGTTACATTGTTTCACAGACATCAGGTTTCTGGAAGTCTTGGAGGATTATGAATCAGGGAGAATGAAGGGGCGCTTTCAGGAAGAACTTTTGCTGGTTGGAATTAAAGTGGAAGGACTGAAGGTGAAGATTAAAAACATGGAGGAGGTGAATGGAACAAAGAAAGCCATTGAAAATAGGTAAGCTTTGAATAAGTTTTCATCGGAAGAGAGCTGTGCATATACAGATAGACTAGAAAGCAGGGTTCCTGTAAACAAACTCGAACGATATTTTGGGAGAGTTGCTTATTTATATGTTCAGTGCTGTCCGACGGATTTCTTTTGTAAGCTGAATATATGAATCCCGCTAATTATCGTTCTACTAGTGCCGGCAGTGGTTGGTAACTCAAAGTAGTGCACCATGGCCACGATCATGAAATTATTTAGTGACAAAACATACTGGCAAATACTTTTCTGTATCAACCAACACAGGTTACATGTCAACAATGATCTGGGCAAGAAGTTAGAAAATGTTAGTATCAACGCTGCTGAAAGCGAAGAGCTGAAAAATATTCAGGTATATTTTGGCCTAAAATTGTCAAGAATGCTCGAAAGGCTTTGATGAAAGCGCGCGTGCTTCGCAGTTTTTTTTGCATATTGTGAATATACCAAAATGTTGCCATTGAGCTTGAGTTTGTCGGTTGTTCTTTCAAAGAGGCGATATATGTATAAAAAAAAGATGTCCACAAAATGTACATAATATTTATGTTAACGTTGGGTAAACTTTATAGTGATATCAAGCATTCCCAAGGATAACACGAATTAACTTGTGGCTATGCATGCATGTGCTGCTGAATAATGCTTATTAAAAACAAGTTTCACACGTTCATTCCTCTCTTTACAAACCTATCACGTATGCTTTACTCAATAATCCTGGTGTGTAAAAGAAACTTTTAAGAAACTTTGGAATGCCCCAAAATTTCTAAGATTCTTCATTTTCAGGATGAATTATACTTTGGAACGATGTACCTCAACTTTGAAACAAAATAAACTAAGCCTCAAGGAATAGAAGCTTCATTAGTTCAGACCATTTCTTGTTGTATTTGATTCTTCTGGTTTAAAAGAGAACTCGGGCATGCATGCATTATGCACCTCTACCAGCCATTTCCTTAGTTGTATGCGCAGTTTGCCACTATTATAGCTACAACGATATTGGAACCAGCTACTTAAAAACATAATGATCGTACGTACCACACATCTAAACAAATCCATATATATTTGCTAGATTGCAGACCATCCTAATGCAGATATAGAGTATTATTACAACATGGGATTCAGGGAGTATCAGATGAAAGATTACAAGTCGGCACTAAGGTGGTATCAGAAAGCTCTGGAAATTACACTTAAACGTCATGGAGAAGTTAATGCTCTTACTTCGCAAATTTATGGCAGTGTCGGAGCAACACAACATGAAATGAGAGATTACAGTTCAGCGTTAGAGACAAGGCGAATGGCTCTTAAAATTATATTAAAACTACATGGAGAAAATCATCCTGCTGCCACCATTCAAAGTTATTGCAACATCGGAGTCACACAATATGCAATGGAAGATTACAAGTCCGCATTAGAAACCCAAAAAAAAGCTCTCGAAATTAGACTAACACATTTTGGAGAAGATTACTCTGGAACAGCTGACAGTTATGAAAACATTGGACTCACACAATGTAAGATGAAAGATTACAAATCAGCATTGGATTCGTTCAAACTGGCTCTACAAATCATTTTGAAACTATACGGAGAGGACTATTCTGCCACAGCTGACAGTTATTACTTAATTGCATTTGCACAACGTCAGATGAAAGATAACAAGTCAGCATTAGAGTCGTATCAAAAAGCCCTTGAAATCAGATTAAAAATTAACGGTGAAGATCATGCCAACACTGCCAAAAGCTATCACAGCATTGGAATCGTACAAGATGACATGGAAGATTACAGGTCATCCTTAAAATCGCATCAAGAAGCTCTCAAAATCAGATTAAAGTTATACAGCAAAGATAATCTCGATATTGCTCAAAGTTATTTCGACATTGCAAACACCCAACGTAAAATTAAAGATTACAAGTCAGCGCTGAAGTCACACCGAAAGGCTCTTGAAATCAGGATAAAGTTGTTTGGAGAAGATCATCCCGCGACAGCTAACAGTTACTTTAACATTGCGAACACGCAATGTGAGATAAAAAAATACAAGTCAGCACTGGAATCGCATCAAAAGGCCCTCAAAATTCGCTTAGTGCTGTATGGAGAAGATCATCTTGACACTGCTCAGAGTTATAGCAACATTGGGGTCACACAACATGAGTTAGAAAATTACAGGTCAGCATTGGAATCGAAACAAAAAGCGCTTGAGATCAGGTTAAATATGTACGGGGAAGATCATCCTGCGGTAGCTGACACGTATTCGATAATTGGAATCACACAACACGAGTTGAAAGATTACAATGGAGCATTAGAATCCCACCAGAAAGTCTTGAAAATCAGATTAAGACTATACGGAGAAGATCACGCTGACACAGCAGACAGTTATTACAACATTGGATACACACAACATGAAATGGAAGATTTTCAGTCGGCATTTGAGTCGTATCAACATTGTCTCCAGATCAATTTGAAGCTCTATGGAGAAGATCACAGTGATACTGCCCAAAGTTATTACAACATAGGAATCGTGCAAGATGACATGGAAGACTACCAGTCAGCTTTAAAATCGTATAAAAAAGCCCTTGAAATCCGATTGAGACTGTTCGGATTATATCATCCAGACACAGCTGACAGTTATTACAATATTGGAATCACGCAATACGCGATAAAAGATTTTACGTCAGCTTTAGAGTCGTATAAAAAAGCGTTGGAAATCAGTAGAAAAGTACATGGAGATGATCATCCTGACACTTCCCAAAACTATTACCACATCGAACTCACACAAGATGAAATGAGACATTGACATTAGTCTCAAGTTCGCTTCAAAAACTTTAAATGTGCTTATTATTGTATGAAGAGGAATTATTCTTTTACTGTTAGTATTGACCATGATTTCGTTATTTGTTAGGTTTCAAAGCTTTGCATTCACAGAACATAAAATAAAGAGGAGAATTATAATATTATTGTCACTTCAATTGAATTGCTTTCAAGATTACCATGGCGCTGCTGTGACGAAAGTTCACTTTATTGTAAACACGAAGAATTCGAGGTAAACACGAAGAACACGAAGATTGCAATTGTAACCGTGCACCATTGTAATTAGATAATGTAACAGTGCACCATTGTAATTAGATAATGTAACAGTGCACCATTGTAATTAGATAATGTAACAGTGCACCATTGTAATTAGATAATGTAACAGTGCACCATTGTAATTAGATATGACAGTCTTGAGCACATGTATATAGAGAGCACAGAATGAAATAAAGGACACTTAGAAACTGGATTCAATTAACGTGTGTGTGTCTCAGGCAGCTCGACCCGTTACACAATTCATTACTATAGCCTCGGGTTACAAAGCTTTGCAAGTTAATCATCTTGGCAACGCTCCTACAATCACGTTTAAAAATAATGAGACTTTCATTATCATTTTGCATCAAATTTGAAGTGCATCGCGCCCCCCCGCACTTGGGAAATATCATTACTTTCCCCGAGGGAAATATCATTACTAAAAATCTCCACGCCACGTGGTAGAAATTTTTTTTTTATTTCGAGTGGAATTATACACACTTCAAATTCAAGACAGTTAATGGAAGAAAATAAATGAGTCAACTATCGGTGTTGCTGCTATAATCGTTATGCTTATATGAGTCAACAACAGGCTGTAAAATCTGGTTTCATTTTATATTATTGTTTCAACGTTTTTTACTCACTTTATCCTTTCTTTATCGTTTCATATGTACGGTAGGCGTTCGTATAATGTTATATCGGTCCTTTAGAGCGGTCCAAAAACGTTGTGCAGTCAATCTAAAACTGCTAAAAGCTATGTGTTTCACACTATTTATAGTGATGAATGTCACACTTGGATAACTTGCTAATTTATGCACTAACAATCGGTTCTCCGGCAGGAATCGAACCTACGCTTTTGCGATACCAGTGCAATGCTCTTGCTATTCCACTCGAAATTAAGACCCTTTGAGAGGTTATATTATCGGCTGCGAGGTCCGGATAGAAAAATGTTTCCCGGAGGTATCAATTTGGAGAGAATTTGAAAAATATTTTGAGACCGAGGGGAAATAATTTTCTATCCGGACCGACCAAAACGGTAAATAACGTTCGGTCGTAGCTAGTCAGACTCAGCAATACCATGGCGACAAAAACATAAACAATCAAAACTTAATTTGTTTAATTTACTAAAACTCACTTCAATTTATCGTGATAATCATTTGGTCGGTATATTTAAAAAAAAGTTTGCGAAAAAATCTTTAGAAAAACAAAACAAAACAAACACGCTTTCGCTCGAGCATAAAATAAAGGATTCCGGACCGTGGTCAGATATCGTAAAATTCCGCCCGCTGCTACAACCAATCAGATTGCAGAAAAGGATAGGATTCCGCCCTCTGCTGATTTGCAAAAAAATAACAATATTAATGTAGTTTATATGTTGAGATTCTTTATAAGGATTTTGAACGTCTGGCAACTCAGCAAAGGAACAACACAATGAGACATTTTTGTGGCATATAATTTGGGCAGGAAGCGCTCGAAAAAAGGTCTAGAGGCTCTAATTAACCTAAGTTTTTCCTAGAGGAACAGGAGGACCTCTAAGTTGCAGAAGGTATGAGCCAGCTCTGTGCATGTTGTTCAGTGAGTTGAGAACTAATGATCTAGGGACCACCATTAGTTATACTGAGACAGTAAGGGCACTCAAAACCCAACAGAGCATGCAAAAACTATAGGTTTTTCTAGAGGAACAGGTGGACCTCTAGATAACAGGGGAACAGCCGGACCCCTGTTCAGCTCGACTCAAATATTGTCTGACTGACCCATCGAGTCTCAGGTCGAGGTCAGGTCATCAGATCGCGTTTTCAACCAAAATGACCTGTACAAATGCACTTCACGTGGTGAGGTGTTGTCCAGAAGGACAGCACTTCCTGCCATTGTTTAATCACTGCAATTCATTACAAGTTACAAGAAGAATATTGATCGACTATCGAGAGATAACATATGAATGAACATAACGTATTAGCATATTTGCATGCGGATGCCACAGCGGCCGGTCCTTCGCTGTGGGGAGGTGGTTGGGGTCTATTTTTGTAGTTTTTAGTTATTATAATTACTTTTGAAACGCAGATATAAGTATTAATTGCTGCCTTTCGATAAAAGACCTTTAAATATTTGACCGGCGTTGTGGACGCATTGGCTGAGGTCTTGCGAATGGCGAATGCATGCATGGGGAGCAGGCAAAATCCTTGCAGAAAAATTGTTCTAGTCCACGTGAAGGGAAAGACCGTCAGGGGAGATTCGATTGGCCGTAACACAAGTTTGCGTACACGTTGTTCACATGCTAAGATGCCAGAGTTCGGTCAGATTTTGGACTTTATAACTATTAACATGGCTGATAAAGACTGCCTTGTTCTATTGAGGCCTTGACCTTGCCCGGGCTAAAATTAGTGCATACGATAACTATGACAGCTAGACCAGAGATGGTCCATATGTAGGGTGAAATAGGACCTTCTAGAACATATTACTCTATTAACCGCAAATTTATAATTTGCGTAGAAATATTTTTATTTTGTGTCATGCGTAGTTTTGTACTTATTTACGATTTTTTGATCTGTGCGAGTGGGTCCATGTGAAACACCATAGAATATTTATTTTTCTGCATCAAGTTCATTGTCACTTTCATTGTGATTTACAAACATGTCTATCATACATTTGAATGAAAGACCGACTCACCATGCAACTCTAGATCTGCGGGGTACTTCAAGGAATACAACACTACGCACAGCTAGCGTCTACATTTCATACTGAATGATGGGTTGTTTTATATTTATATTTACGATTTTTTAATTTAATTTGGGTAAGTGGATCTTTGTGACTCTTATCACAGAATATTTACCTTCACATAAGTTTATTTTCATTTTCATTTTCATTGTGATTTAACAGCATGTCTAACATATTTGTGAATGCGAGACTGACTCACAATGCACCTCCACTCACATAACACAAGCTGCGAGGACTATACAGTATGTTGCAAACCACGGTTAATAGAAACAAACTGACATTGGTCTAATATGATATAAATACTCCTCTTCTTCATTGAGGTAATTCTCGTGCAATACGACTTCGTAATGCCTTATCATTTAAATACTGCATGGTTGACCGTTTATTATTCAAGATAATATTTTTTGTCAGGAACTCCTGCAGTTCATTAAAACTGAAGGCATATTTTGAGTGCGTAGTTCATTGAAATTTGAAATCTGTACCATTTTAAACGGAAATTGAATTTAACCTTTTGTGGTATGTATATTAATCTTTATAATCGCTATAGTAATCTTTACCTGATTTGGATTAAAAGAAATCAATTTATAAGACATAGTTACGATGATAGTCCAGTAATTTTAATAGCCACAGATATCAGACAAATAGAGTGAACTTAGCTTTAGGAAGAATTCGTCGTTTATTCTTCCCCAAACTAAAAAAAATATTTATTCAAAGATTTGAGATCGTTCACTAGACAATTAAAAGAAGGAGTTAGTTCACTCCCAACACATAAATGTTGGTTTCATGCAAAGATATTGTAAAGACATAAATTAATATCAAAACAATTTTTGGCACTGCTGGGTGCCTCAAAACATCGTGTGATTGTTGGAATATACTATAAAATGCTTATGTTTTTATGGTTTCACATTTACTTATGATCATCTAACATGCAGTTACGCCACGATTCCGTGGTTAATAATAAAATAACCATTGGGTGGAATTTTGTAATATGCGGAATCTCTAAGCCTGTATAGAAGAGTTACTAGCTAACCTGAAGGCGATGCTGTCTAAAAATACCCAGACATTAAAAATATGCTCATTTTTGTTTTATATAACATTTTACTCTGTTTTTCTTTGACTAATAAGAATTTAAGAGCCAGCAAAGCTTTAGAACAGCTCTTTCGTTGCTTTTGTGAAGGTAAAAACAAACATGCCTTATCAAACTCAGGCCTTTCTGCTTAGGACAAACAATAGTTTATTGAATCACTAGTTTAATCAGAACCAAACAAACATATATGTAGCTTATATACTGCAAGCCTGGTTCGTTCTTCTCTCATACACGGAACTGTTTTATAGGATTCTTGATCGGCGAAATTAAAACCAATCAATGTCTGCAATAACATCGGCGCTAAGTCAATAACATCAATTCTAGAGGATTCCATTCAAAGGCGTTTAGCTTAAACGGCGGATCAGTTTAAAGCTGAAATATTGTCACATGCCTATCACATGCTGGGAGATTACGAGTTAGCATTGAAGGCAGAACAAAAAGCTCTTGAAATCCGAGAAAAAAGAGGTGATGAAGGTTGCTCTGACACATCTATTAAACATGTCAACATTGCAATTATGCAACATAGAATGGGAGAATATAAGTCTGCATTAAATTCAGGAAATAAAGCTCTTGTTATTAGATTAAAAAATGAAATAGATGATCCCATCACAGCTGATATTTATAACTTCATTGGAATCGTACAAAGAGATATGTAAGATTATAAGTCGGCATCAGTGTCCGAAGAAAAAGCTCTCGAAATCAGATTAAAACATGAAGACGATTCCGACACAGCTTTCAGCTATCACATGATTGGGGAGACAAAACGTGAAATGGGAGAGTACAGCCTCGCATTACAGTCGGATAAAAAAGCTCTTGAAATTCGATTAAAACTATATGGAGAATATCACCCTTGCATAGCTGACAGTTATAGCCGCATTGCAATCACACAGCTTGCGATGGGAGATTACAAGTCTGCATTAGATTCGAAGAAAAAAGACCTCGAGATCAGATTGAAGCTACCTGGGAAAGATGATTCTGATGACATAGATGAGATTTATGCGAGGCTTTTGAGTCTGGAAAATGAGATAGAAGATTTCAAATTAGAATTGGTCGCGAAAGTTCTTCAAGAAATACTTGAAGAAGACCACTCCGATACGACTGAAACGTTTCTGAAGCACTGGAATTACACAACACGAGATAGAGGAACTCCATCCAGCATTATAGGTTATTGAAGGCAAATTAAAAATGCAATGAAAGCCTAGATGGGAATTTGAAAGTAATTTAAAATTAATAATGCTATATAAAATTACATAAAACGTAAGCTTGTTTAGGACAAAAATCCAAAATTGCGCTGAGACCTAATTTGCATTGTTTGATGCAGTCACACTTCTAGGATTCGTTAAAACATTTCTTAAGTCAAGTTACACTTTATTAAACGTTTAATATTTTTAC